AATGGCCTGGGCAGGAAGGGGGAAAATTGCACGGTATTGAAACGGTTAAGCGCCTATATCGTGGTTTTTACCTCAATATCTAACGTGCAATTATGTGTATAGAGTCGTAGTTGTATATTATGGATTTTATCTTATATCATATTATTATATTATTATTATTTTTTTTCTTACTGTATTTATCATCATGTATTACATGTGTTCTATACATGATGCATAGAAGGCGTTCATGTGAACATATGCCTATATGTCTCATATTTTTTACCCACCGGCAACACTACTGTCATATCCACTTAAGGAGTTACACGCATGTGTATGTAGTGTATACACATGTATACATGTGTTCATGCTGATGTCTTTCACTTCAATACACCTCTGGAGTGCGGCAGCCAGGGCCGTCTGACCACCCCATTTGATTGGCTATGACGTGCACTCAACAGCAAGTTCGTCAGAGGGGAATCCCCAGACAGTTTCCCCCAACTAGAGCCTCGTCAGAGGATGGGGGTGGGGTGGCAGGTCTGGTATCTTACCCAATAGAGCGGTGTTGGTGTACGCGCACAGAGTGGCCGTCAGATGCGCGTGATGCGCGCTCACGTGATCGCGCCGACGGACCTGTCCTCCTCACACTGCGCATGCGCATGTTGGTCCACGCATGCGCAGTCACGAGCATTCCATACTAGCGTGCGTTCCACACACAGGGTAAACCTGCAGCTATAGAGGGAAGCATAAGATCTCCCTCTGCTGCTGACTATACATTACTACGGATCCAAGAGTACTGATCCAATCCTCTCCATCATCCGATCACGAAGCACATGCAGCTGCCTGGTAGCACACAACATACAGCTTCTGGTTGAAGGTTTGTGTGTGGGTTTATATGTCTACATATATATACATGTGTTTGTGTCACTATGGACACTTAACCATTAAGACATCCATTGACTAACAATTTATGTCTATTGTTACATTAATTGCTATATACTCATCCAGCTTCATGACAAGTCCTCTGGATGAATTGTCCATTTGATACATCGCTCACTAATGAATCATGGAATAAGACTAACTATTTACAATATATTATGTTTCATCATGTATTATCTATTATCATCATTTCCAATGGTGTCATCGCCTAGTTGATATATTATATGTACACTAAGTGGTGTATGCAAAATGTGGTTTTTTATATATTTTTTATATATTTTATATCTTATATTTTATGTTTGTCTATATCATTTCTCTCTGATGGCATTACAAATAGTGATTGTCTGTTGACGATATCTTGGCCCCTCCTACTAACCTGAGACTGCCCAACCCAGTGGGGAGGGCCTAGGTTCAGTCCAGGAGTATATATAGGAGAGAGCACTCACAGTTCAGTTAGCTCTGAGGAAGAAGGGACCCCCTTCGAAACGCGTCAGCTGTACTGAACACCCACTCCCCTGATGGGACTCATGTTATCTTCAAGTCCCTGTGAGGACTTACATGCCTGATTTTATTCGCTGTTTGTGAGTATATTTTTTACAATTAATAAATTTTGGTTACTGAGGTAATGCGCAAGGTTGGTGCGCTTCTCGTTTTCATTTCATTCTGCAGTGTTGATTGGGCTTCCCCAGCCTTGTTTTGGAGCCGCACAGCCCTTTATGCATTGGTGGACGATCCCTCCAGGCCTGGTTTCATCTGTTCGCCACCTGTCTGAGTCCCAGAGCGCAGGAGAATTCGTTTTTGACCCATTGCCGGTACCATGTGACCTGTTGTGACCAATCACAGCAGGTCACATGACAGTTGTATACAGTGGATGGCTTCATTCATGCCATCCATTGTATACTAGTGTCTAGCTGTGAATGATCACAGCTAATCACATGCACATGTCATGTGATTAGCTGTGGCCAAATCACAGCTAAGCACAAAAAAAAAAAAAAACCCTGAATGAATCGATGTCATTCAGGTAAATGCTTGCTTATAGCAAAGTAATTCTTTGCTATAAGAAAATTGTGTAAAAAAAAAAAAAAAAAAAATACTGATCACTTCCCCAAAGTAGTACAATGTTACTATGGTAACATTGTACTACTTTGGTCATAGTAAAATATGAAAAAAAATCTTAAAATAAAGAAAAAAAATTTAATAAAAAAAAAATATATATATATATATATATATATATATATATATATATATATATATATATATTTATTTTTTTTTTTTTTTTCATACTGTCACCAGTCAGTGTCCCTGATCACCGCCATGCCAGTTATATGAAGACGCTGTACTGCACTGGTGACAGTATGTAAAAAAAAAAATAGTGAAACTAATTTTTTACATTTTTTCATTTTCTGAAAAATTATGACAAAAAAGATACAACTTCAAAAAACTCGCCATTCCTCTTATGAAATACGTCGGACTATCTACTTTGCAAAAAGGGGTCATTTGGGGGATATCTGTGCTGTTCTGACATTCTTGGACCTCAAGAAATTAGATTGGCCGTCAGTACTTTAGATTGATCAATATTCAGATCTATACCATAGTTTGTGAACTCTATAACTTTCCTACAAACTAAAAAATACATCCCCGGACCCTGCATTCACTATATCCGGTCTCCCCTGTACCCTGCATTCACTATATCCGGTCTCCCCTGTACCCTGCATTCACTATATCCGCTCTCCCCGGACCCGCATTCACTATATCCGCTCTCCCCGGACCCCGCATTCACTATATCTGCTCTCCCCGGACCCGGACCCCGCATTCACTATATCCGCTCTCCCCGGACCCCGCATTCACTATATCCGCTCTCCCCCGACCCCGCATTCACTATATCCGCTCTCCCCGACCCCGCATTCACTATATCCGCTCTCCCCGGACCCCGCATTCACTATATCCGCTCTCCCCGGACCCCGCATTCACTATATCCGCTCTCCCCCGGACCCCGCATTCACTATATCCGCTCTCCCCGGACCCCGCATTCACTATATCTGCTCTCCCGGACCCCGCATTCACTATATCCGCTCTCCCCCCCGGACCCCGCATTCACTATATCCGCTCTCCCCGGACCCTGCATTCACTATATCCGCTCTCCCCGGACCCCGCATTCACTATATCCGCTCTCCCCGGACCCTGCATTCACTATATCTGGTCTCCCCAGGCCCCTGCATTCACTATATCCGCTCTCCCCGGACCCTGCATTCACTATATCAGCTCTCCCTGGACCCTGCATTCACTATATCCGCTCTCCCTAGACCCTGCATTCACTATATCCGGTCTCCCCGGACCCCGCATTCACTATATCCGGTCTCCCCCCGCACCCTGCACTCCTATATCCGATCTCCCCGGACCCTGCATTCACTATATCCGGTCTCCCCCGGACCCCGCATTCACTATATCCGGTCTCCCCGCACCCTGCACTCCCTATATCCGATCTCCCCGGACCCCGCATTCACTATATCTGATCTCCCCAGACCCTGCATCTCCCGGACCCCGCATTCACTATATCCGCTCTCCCCGGACCCCGCATTCACTATATCCGCTCTCCCCGGACCCCGCATTTTACTATAACTGGTCTCCCCCGGACCCTGCATTCACTATATCGGATCTCCCCGGACCCTGCATTCATTATATCCGGTCTCCCCGGACCCTGCATTCACTATATCTGGTCTCCCCGGACCCTGCATTCACTATATCTGGTCTCCCCGGACCCTGCATTCATTATATCCGGTCTCCCCCGGACCCTGCATTCACTATATCCGGTCTCCCCGGACCCTGCATGCACTATATCTGGTCTTTCACGGACCCTGCATTCACTATATCTGATCTCCCCAGACCCTGCATTCACTATATCTGATCTCCCCAGACCCTGCATTCACTATATCCGCTCTCCCCGGACCCTGCATTCACTATATCTGATCTCCCCGACCCTGCATTCACTATATCCGGCCTCCCACAGTACACACGACATGGAAATGCAATTATTGTAATAAATATACACTGCTAAATTAAAAATAGGAGGTTTCATTCTCCCCTGACTGTCTTATGAGACTGCATAACCCCTGACCCTCTGTCTGGACAGTGCTGATAGGGGCCCTGTGCTGATCACATGCACCCTCCCAAGAAAAAACAAAACTCTAGCAATACACACCAAACTGAGCATGTACAGAGTGCCTCCTAGAGCTCTGTACTATCAGCAGATGGATTGGGGACAGTAGAAGGGGAGGATCAGAGAAGACAGGATCAAATGGCCTTTTTACACGATGCAAAGGAATAACCCCTTAGGTTCCACAGTGAGTATAACAAGCATGCTTTACTGCATCTACAGACTGATTGTACTGCTGTGGGTTTAGTAACACTTTAACTCTAAACTGATCAGCTGTGGTGATATTTGGGCTATGTAGTTTTTGGCGATATCGCAGGCACTTGCAATTTTAAGACATGGACTGTTTGGTATCTATTTACTCGATGCAACCTCATCTTTTACATTTTAACCAAAAATGGGTATTATATTGTGGTTTGTTTGGTTTTGTTTTTTTTTTTTTGTTTGTTTGTTTTTAGTTTTTTTTGCACTGAAATTAATTTTATTATAGTTTTTCCTGAAAACTTGCACTTAAACAGTTGCACAAATACTATAAAAATTACATAAAATCTGCAACTGTCACCTTTTTGTTCTAAAGGGCCTCTGCTTTCAGAAGATATACGATGGTTATTTTTTTTTTGTTTTATTGCCAAAAATGTAAGTTTTTTTATATGTATGCGAAACATTTTTAAAACATTGCTTTGGGGCCAAACTGGTTAACATCTGATGTATCTGCCTACATCAAGGACAATAGCCTAGAGCAGGGGTAGGCAACCTGCGGCTCTCTAGCTGTTGGGGAACTACATTTCCCATGAGACCTTGCAAAATTGACAGTTACAGCTATGACTTGCAGAGGCATGATGGGACTTGTAGTCCTGCAACAGCTGGAGAGCCGCAGGTTGCCTACCCCTGGCCTAGAGTTTCATTATAAGCTGAAGTTGTGTGTCTTCTGCAGGATCAGAATTGTGACAGGGCAAGCCTTTCTTCAGGCGGTGCCGGAGATGTGGAATCCTGCTCCATCAATGAAGATGACTTTGAAGGCATTTCCTCTCCTCGTGACAACGATCTCTCCACTGGTAACAGCTCGGTGGGGATGAGTAGGACCAGCCTGGAGAGCAACACTTCCCAAGAGGGAGCGTCTAAGCAACTCTACCACAGCGGTGAGGCTACAGATACCGAGACGGCTAATAAAGACCTCCGGAATGACACAACTATACTGACTGATCTCCCCTTCTGATCCCAGGTTCCCCTTCTAGAACCCCGCAGAACTACAAGTCTGAGATTCTATCTTCCTGCAATTCCAGTAGTACGAGCGTCTTCCAAAACTATGCTATGGAGGTACAATTTTCTGTTTTATCATCTTGCAAAAAAAAAAAAGGAAAAAACAAAGAACATTTTCTACGGTGGGGAATTTTAGAGTACAGTATTTTCCGGCGGTGTAGAATTTTAGAGTGTGTACAGTTGCGCTCAAAAGTTTGCATACCCCTGGCAGATATTGTGAAATTTTTCCATTGATATTGAAAAGTTGACTGATTGTGCCAAAAAATGCTCTTTTATTGAAGGGTGATGATCATATGAAGCCATTTATTATCACATAGTTGTTTGGCTCCTTTTTTAAATCATAATAACAGAAATCACCCAAATGGCCATGATCAGACGTCTCCGCCCCGCAGAAGTCCCCCCCCGAATAAGTTTCCCTCCCGTGGAGTTTGGCAGGAGACACACAAGGTGACACACACGGGTTACAATGCCAATCAGAGGTTAATGTCCCACTGGCTTTTTAATTGCAATTAATGCTGTGTATAGCACACATGAGCTTGTTAACTCACATGGTTACAAGTGTAATTGGTGTCAGGGGAGGAATAGTGCCCCATCATTGGTGTCACTGGGGCTACCATTAATGATGGAGCACTATTCAATCCCACTGTTAACTCTTACATGGAAGCACTGATTCCTACTGCACCATTGGGGGCACTGATTCCATCCCCCCCCCACTGACCCGGGGTCAGTAGGGGGCCTCATGAGATGCCCCTGGTAACCTTTCATTGGCTTTTTTGGGTGTGGGTGAGGACACAGCGGCCCCTTGATCCCCGATTGCCTATTCCCCCCCCCCTAACACCAATGATGTTGTCACTATTCCACCCCCTGATACTGACACCATGATGGATCAGAAAAGTACTGTCCACCCCCCCTGACACCAATGAATGGACACCATTCCTCCCACTGACACCAATGTTGGGACACTATTCCTCCCACTGAAAAATGATGGGGCACTATTCCCCCCACTAAAAAGTGCCTGTTGGGGCATCTATTCCTGCCAAGATACAATGATGGGGCACTATTCCTGCCACTGATACCAATGATGGGGCACTAAAACCAATGATGGGGCACTATTCCTCCACTGATACCAATGATGGCACTATTCCTTCCAATAAACACCAAGGATGGGTGCTATTCCACCCACTGACACCAATGATGGGCACTATTCCAGTGTCACTGAACAGTGATGGGGCACTATTCCTCCCATTCATACCAATTTTGGGGCCAATTCCTCACTGACCAAAAGATTGCAGTTTATATACTAGAAGAATTCCAGGACTTACGCCACAGGCAAAATAAAAATAAGTTGTGCTAGAAGTTTCTGCTCCCCCTGGCAGATATTGTGAAACAGTTTGGCATTGTAGAAAATACTTCATGCCAAAAAATGCCTTTTATTGAAGGGTGAAAATCATTTGAAGCATTTATTATCACATCGCTGTTTGGCTCCTTTTTAAATCATAATAACAGAAATCACCCAAATGGCCATGATCAGAAGTCTCCGCCCCCAGATCAGAAGTCTCCGTTTACCCGGATCATACAGTTTCCCTCCCGTGGAATGTTTGGCCTTGGTACAGACACACGAGGTGACACACAACAATGCCAATTAGAGGTTAATGTCCCACATCTGTGGTTTTAAAATTGCATATTAATGTCAGTGTATATGTTGCAATGAGCGCAATCTTCATGGAAGCACTGGCTAGGCTAGATACTGAGCAAAAAACTGGCCATTCAGCACTCGGGGATACTGCTGAGGGCAGGGGTCAGTGGGGGCCCCATGAGATGACCCCTCTGGACCTTTCATTGGACTTTTTTGAAGGGGAAAGGAACATGGGAGCCCCTTGATCCCCTATTGCCCAGGGGGACTCAAAGTTCAGTCCACCCTGCATATAGCCATGGGGATCAGAAAAGAACTGCAAAAGTCCTGTGTAACAAGGTAATGGAACTTTACAAAGATGGAAAAGGCCAAAAAGATGTCCAAAGCCTTGAATAGGCCAATCAGTACTGTTAAATCACCTATTAAGAAATGGAAAGTTCGGGGATCTCTTGATACCAAGCCAAGGTCAGGTAGACCAAGAAAGATTGCAGCCATAACTCCTGAAGAATTGTTCGGGATTCAAAGAAAAACCCCACAGGGGGAACCTCAGGAGAAATCCAGGCCCTCTGGAAAAAGATGGTGTGGTTGTTTTTAAGGAGTACAAAATGGTGATTCTTGAGCCCAAATGAGCTGTTTGGTCGAGGTAGTCAAAATCCCCTTCTACTGCAATTCAATGCCCCCATAAAGCCCGTTAATATCCCTGACAACACCTTGAATCCCTAATCGGGCCTTTGTGTATTGATGCAGTAAAGGCTTCTTTCTTCACCCCCCATAAGCAGCCCCATTTTAATTCAAGTGTCATATTGTTCCATCTCCCTTAAAACAACCCACTGATACCAAGCCAAGGTCAGGTAGACCAAGTAATTCATCAGCCACCTGACAGAAATTGTTGGGGATGCAAAGAAAAACCCCCCACAGGCAACCCAAAAGAAATCCAGGCTTAGCTCTGGAAAAAGATGGTGTGGTTCATTGTTTTTAAGGAGTACAATACGGTATACTTGAACCCCCATAGTAATTCATCCCCCTTATAGTCAATCATCCCCCCGGCCGGTCATTACCCCCTAGGTAATTTCCCCCAGGGAGGAGAACTGTTTTCCCCCCTTTAGTAACAATTCATCCCCCCTTGTCAGCTAGGGCAATTTTGGATGGCTGTGCAGAGCCAGCCATCCATAGCAGTAATTCATCCCCACATAGTACATTCATCCCCCCCCTAGTAAAGCATCACCCAGCACACACACGAATTACCCTTTGATCGCCCCTATAGTTAATTCATCCCCAGTGCCATAGTACAGTTCATCCCCCCTTTTTGTAATTTCCCCATTGATCACTGTATTGGTGTCACTGGGGATGTCAATCCCCCAATCAGTTCTTCCCCCCCATGTCAGAATGTCTGCCGCAGTCACGCTATAAGTCGCCTGATCACCGCCATTACTAGTAAAAAATTTAAAATCCCAGTATATATACCACCCCCATTTTTAGACGCTATAACTTCATCACGTAAACAAGAAGACCGCATTAAATTTTTTAAAAGACACGGAGCAGAATACATTTTGGCCTAAATTTATTGCAAATTATAGATTTTTCAATAAAAAATTTTGCTACGGATGTTTATAGCAAAAAGTTAAAAAAAAGTGGCTCTGGATTTCCAAAATTGTCAGACACCCCTTGTTTATAGTGCAAAAAATAAAAACCGCCACATATCAAAGAATGAAAGAAGCTGTATTTGTGGGGGGGGGGGATATAAATCCTTAAGGTGCAGTGGTTAAATGTACCGCACAAAATAACGCAGCTGCCATATCGCAAAAAATGGCCTGGTCGGGGGGGGGGTTCAATCCTCTGGTGGGCAAGTGGTTAAAGTAGCACAGCGCCACATAGCAAAGAATGGCCAGGTCATGAAAGGGGGTAAATCTTCCAGAGGGCAAGTGGTTGAAAAAATATTTTTATATTACTTTTGACCATTTTTTCCGTTGATAATAATTAAAAAAAAAATCTGGACATATGTATTATTATTTATAACCAAATGAAAGCTCTGAGCTAAGCACACTAAGGTAAATTTCCCGTAATAGGTGCTAATCTCCAGCTGCTCCCGGTGTCTGACCTGTGATTGCCTGGTCCACGATGAGGAGATTATGGCTGGCTGGACAGCGGATGATTCAAATCTCAACACCACCTGTCCCTTCTGTGGGAGCGCCTTCCTCCCATTCCTGAACATTGAAATCCGAGACCTGCGCCGCCCCGGTCGGTAAGGATCATTACATTGTCTGGATGGCAAAGCTTATCACCTTTTAAATCTGAGCCTGAGGGCCGCTTCACACCACATGTTTGCAATCTGTTTGCATTTCTGCATGCACTGTTCTCATGCGTTCCATTGCATTTTTTTTCTCTTTTTTTGGGTTTTGTTGTTAGCAGCATGCACCTGCCAGCATCCTAACAACTAGTAACCCATCCCTGCTGTAATTTTTACTCTTTTACTGCTTACATTCTGTCAGCGGGAAACCCCCTCACTGACAGCAGGACTGAGGTATCGGTTGTTAAGGAGCCGGAACAAGCCAGCATCCTAACAACGATGAGACATGACAGCAGGAATGAGTCATCGGTTGTTAAGGAGCCGGCGCAAGCCAGCATCCTAACAACGATAAGTCATGACCCTGCAGTCAGCATCGGGTTAAGGAGCCGACAAGAATGTAACAACGATGAGTCATGAAAGCAGGAATTGAGTGGGGTCATCAATCCATGCTTTCCATTTGGGGCCACATCAAAACAGCAAAATGCATGCCCCACAAATCTATAGCATGACTCAGGAATGGGCATCGGTTTTAAGGCCGGCACAACCAGCATCCTAACAACGATGAGTCACTGACAGCAGGAATGAGGCATCGGTTGTTAAGGAGCCGGCTCAAAGCAGCATCCTAACAACGATGAGTTATCCCTGCAGCAGCTGGGAGAGGTTTGCTTGTTAAGGAGCCGGCACAAGCCAGCATCCTAAAACGATGAGAGTCATGACCGCAGGAATGAGGCATCGGTTGTTAAGGGCCGGCACCCCCTTCATCCTAACACCGATGAGTCCAGGAATGAGGCATCGGTTGTTAAGGAGCCGGCAATAATGCATGCATCCTAACAACTATAGTCAGGCCGCAGGAATAGGCATCGGTTTTAAGGAGCCGGTCACAAGCCCCATCCTAACAACATACCACCGCCCTTTGAGGCATTTTTTTAAGGGAGTGGGGTCACAAGCCAGCAATCCATAAGGCTCTTTGGTCTTGACCGCAGGGGGAGGGATTTGATGTTAAGGAGGGCCGCCATTTGGGGCCAGCATCCTAACAAGGCATGCCCCACATATCAGCAGGCCTTTTTGTCATCGATTGTTTTTTTGATGTTCAAGCTAGCATCCTAACAAATCCATCCATCCCTTTGATCATTTTTTTTTGGGGGGCTTCCTCGCTGTCCCCCCAAATCAATACAGAAGAGGGCTCTTTTTTTTTTTTATGGGGGGGTCTCCCCCTTCAATCCATACCCTTCCATTTGGGGCCACATGAAAAAAAAAAAAAAAAATGCATGCCCCACAAATCTATAGCAGGCCCTTTGGTCATTTTTTTTTTTTTTGCTTACATTCTGTCAGCGGGGAACCCCCTCCATGACAACAGGAATGAGGCATTCTTTTAAGGAGCCGGTTCAAGCCAGCATCCTAACAACGATATCATCCCTGCTGTCAGCTGGGGGGAGGTTCCCCGCTGACAGCAGAATGTAAACAGAAGAGGGGTGTGGGGTCCCCCTTCAATCCATACCCTTCCATTTGGGGGCTACATCAAAAAAAAAAAAATGCATACCCCACAAATCTATAGCAGGCCCTTTGGTCATTTTTTTTTTTTTGCTTACATTGTCAGCGGGTCAACCCCCTCACTGACAGCAGGAATGAACCAGAGCATTACATTGTTTATCAGCTGGTTGCAGCTTTTTACAGGCTCCTTAACAACGATGAGTCATCCCTGCTGTCAGCTGGGGGGGTTCCCTGCTGACAGCAGAATGTAAACAGAAGAGGGAAAAAAAATAGTGTGGGGTCCACCTTCAATCACAATCCACTGTAGCCTTCCATTTGGGGCCATTATGAAAAAAACAAAAAAATGATATGCCCCAAAATCTATAAAATCTGGTCCCTTTGCGTTCCATATTTTTTTTTTTTGGGGTCACCCCCAAATCCATCCAAGGACCGTTGATGGGCATTTTTTGGAGCATGAAGTCCCCCCCCCCCCCAAAATATGTTTTTAAGACACGTCCATACCAGGCTCTTTGGATCATTTTTGTTTTGGGGGACTCCCCCTTCTTAATCCATCCCTTCCATTCCCCACAGACCAAAAAAAAATAACGCATGCACCACAAATCTAGGTTGTCAGGCCCAAAGTTGCATATTTTTTTTTTATTTGGTCACTCCCCAGGTAATCTATACCAGGCCCTTTGCGTCATTTTTTTTAGTGGGTCACTCCCCCTAATTCCTACCAGGCCCTTTGGTCTTTTTTTTTTTTGGGGGGGGGGTCTCCCCCTTCGATCCATACCCTTCCATTTGGGGACCACATGAAAAAAAACAATTCATGCCAGCAAATGGCTAATAGCAGCCTTTTGCCTGGCAGTTTTTTTTTTTGACGGGGGTCACCCCCAAATCCTGCCAGGCCCTTTGATTTGCATGTTTTTGGGGGCCTGCGTGGGTCTCCCCCTTCAATCCATACCTTTCCATTTACGCTCCACATCAAAAAAAACAAAAAAAATGCATGCTCCACAAATCTATAGCAGGCTCTTTGGTCATTATTTTTTTTTTTTTGGTGTGGGATCACCCCCAAATCCATACCAGCCCCTTTAGTCATTCTTTTGGGACTGATGGGAATGTTCCCCCCCCCCAAATCCATATCAGGCCCTTTGGTCTTTTTTTTTATTGGGGGGGGGTCTCCCCTTCAATCCATACCCTTCCATTTGGGGTCACATCAAAAAAAAACAAAAAAAATGCATGCACCACAAATCTATAGCAGGCCCTTTGATCTTTTTTTTTTTTTTTGTGGCTTGGGGGTCCCCCCCCCAAATCCATACCCCGTAGGCCCTTTGGTCATGGACCAGAGCATTACATCCGCGATCGACTTCTTGGGTTGCAGTTTTTTACAGGCTCCTATGCAACAAAAGCAATAAATTCACATTTTCTTTTACATTAATATTGTGTATATTTTGCAGTAGGTGTACTTACCTTTTAACATGTCCGTCACATAAATTTTAATACAATCTTCTGTAGATCTTGCTTTCTTAGTATTAGCATTATGAAAGTATAAATGATGAGTGCTTTAAATGTATCTGTAAAATCTGGTCACAAGTGGGTTTATACCATTTTTTTCAGTATTATTGGGCTTTCTGCTTGTATGCAGCTCCAAGTGACATTCATGGGCAGCCATTGAGCATGAAGTCCTTGTTATTTCAGAATATGTTTTTAAGACACGTGTCCAAACATGGACTTTCAGATGTATGATCATTATTGTTTTTGTGACAGGTACTTCTTAAAAGTCAGTCCATCCACAGACAGCATGCACCCTTCAGGTTGTCAGAGGCCAAAGTCTGCAATCATCCCGCCAGCTTATTTGGTCACTCCAGCCAGGTAATTAACGGTGCTGATTGCGTGTGTTATTTTTATTTCCTAACCCTTCAAGTCTTCTGTATGCTGAGAACATGTCAGAGCATCTTGCATTTTTGTTCATCTTGTAGACCGCATACAATTGATTATAGCTACAGCACAGTGGCTAAATAGTTAGCACTTCCGCCTGGCAGTACTCTGGGTCGTTGGCTCGAATCCCAAACACCAACCCCTGCCTGGAGTTTGCATGTTCTCCCTGTGCCTGCGTGGTTTCCTCTGGTACTTTTTTCCTCCCACACTCCAAAGACATGCTGGTAGGTTAATTGGCTCCTGTCTAAATTGTCCCTAGTATGTGTATGTATGAATGTGAGTTAGAGAGATTACATTGTATCTCTCTTCTCCATTCAGGGACCTTAGATTGTACGCCCCTTGAGGGTTAGGGAGAGTGACCTTAGATTGTACACCCCTGAGGGTTTGGGACTGATGTAAATGTACAATATATATGTAAAGTGCTGCGTAAATTGATGACGCTATATAAGTACCTGAAATCAAAATAAATAAATATTTTCACCCGGCTTTGGGTGTTACTCTTGTAGCAAAGGAAAACTTGAGGACTCAAATACCAGAACTATAGATATACCGAGTGGGAAGAGGAAGACGGATCCAAGTGAATCGACCCAGCTCCTAGTCTTCCCGTAAATATGAGAAGCGTCAGTACATTCAGCACTTTGGATGAGAAGCCATCTTGTAATCTGAGCCATGTCTCCACTGGCAAAAGCCTATCCATCCTAACTTTCAGACACCATCACTGTAAGTACACTGCTAAGTATGTTTGGTGGCATTTTTTTTTCATCCGTAAATTGAAAGTCCCTCCTGTCTGCCCAGATCAAGTATACAAACCCAACGCACACGTTCCTGCGTTGAATAATGGCTGTATGTATAAATGGGTGCTGCAGCGACCGTCGGCTGGAACGGAACCGAGGATCACCAATTACCAATGGGTCCAAAAGCTTTAATGAACGATCACATAGTTACAGCAAGGCAACGTTTCAGAGTCTCGTAGGATCCCTTCATCAGGCGCGTGCCTTTCTGTAACTGTGATCTTTCATTAAAGCTTTTGGACCCATATTGGAGATCCTCTGTGTGCTGGTGACATTCTCCCTTTCCAATGCAGATCATTTACCTAGGCCAATGATGTGTACTTTGACTGCTTTGTCTCCAGGGATATGTACATCACATACCCAAGGAGGCCTTAGTTTTTCAGACACAGAGGATGAGGGGCCAGCCCAGGGGTGTGTCATCGGGAGACCCTCCTGGCTGAACCCGGAAGAGCCAGCAGGATTCCCAATGACATCACACACAATCATGGTGGCACAGGACAACACTGGATCTGCTGGCACGGGTGAATATCCAAACTGCGGAGAACCCACCACAACGTAAGCAGGGGTTAAAAAAAAAAAAAAAAGATGGTAAACTGAAGATCCACTTTAGGTATAACACCAGTGAAGTTCATTGTGCTGCAGTTGTCCTGTAACTACTTTTTTTTCCCTTTAACCCCTTGTCTGCCGGGCACTTATACCCCCCCTTCCTGCCCTGAGGCCAATTTTCAGCTTTCAGCGCTGTCACACTTTGAATGACAATTGCGCGGTCATGAACACTGCACCCATAACCGGCATAATTTTTTTTTACACGAATAGAGCTTTCTTTGGTGATATGGAATCGCCTCTGGGTGTTTATTTTTTGCGCTATAAACAAAAATCACGCAAAAAAAAAAAAAGTTTTTCTTTGTTTCTATTATAAAATTTAGGCAAACTGATAATTTCTTCTCTTTCACTGATGTGTTGCCAAAGGCTGCACAGATAGGCAGTGCTGATGGGCATGGATAGGAGGCACTGATGAGGTGGCACAGATAGGCAGTGCCCATGGGCACGGATAGGAGGCACTGATGGGTGGCACTGGTGGGCGGCACTGATGAGGTGGCATGGATAGGCAGAACTGATGGGCACGGATAGGAGGCACTGGTGGGCAGCACTGGTGGGTGGCACTGCTGGGCACAGGGTGGGTACAGGTGGGTGGCACTGCAGGTCACAGGTGGGTGGCACTGATGGGTACAGGTGGGCAGCACTGATGAGGTGGCACAGATAGGCAGTGCTGATGGGCACGGATAGGAGGCACTGATGGGCACTGATGAGGTGGCACGGATAGGCAGTACTGATGGGCACGTATAGGAGGCACTGATGGGTGGCTCTGGTGGGCAGCACTGGTGGGTGGCACTGCTGGGGCACAGGGTGGGTACAGGTGGGTGGCACTGCAGGGCACAGGTGGGTGGCACTGATGGGCACAGCTGGTGGCACATCACTTGCTCCGACAATTGCCAGTTGTTGGCAGTACTTTCCTTATTCTGGACAGCATGAGGAAAGTGCAGCCTATAACCGGCAACTGTATTTACCTGGTGATCTGTGTCATTGGACACAGCTGATCATGTGCTAAAAGGCTGCCGTGATTGGCTAGTTACCATATCACGTGATCAGCTGTGTCCAAGGACATGAGATCACCTAGGCAGTTCTAGCGGAAGTTGGAACAGATATCTGCCAGAAGTAGCCCCCCCCCCAAAAAAAAAAGATCAGCAGAACTTCTTTTTTCAAGGTGAAGTTCCGCTTTAACTATATCAGAGTGAACATTTTCAGCGCATTATTATAGGGAATAAGAAAGGTCTTAACAGTCTACTTAAGCCTTGCATGAAGGGATTAGCGCCTGCTGCTAATATATTTCATTATTCCTCTGCGAAGTATAGGCTGTCTAACAACATATTCATTCATTGGTGCACAAGCTCATACTTGGCATATCGGCCTAAATCTGAGCTCCAAGTGTGGTCTCTGCATTATTTCTTTGGTCCAGCTTCTCAATCCTGAGGGAGAGCTGTGAAAGCTGACAGTCAATGTATTAGTCAGTACTACTGCAGTGATGGCAGCGATTTTCCAGGTCCTGTGACAAGCGACAATCTCTGTGTATTGACCGCAGAGGGTTTCTCACTCAGTATTGCTGCCATTCACAGAACGCCTTGTATTTTTTCAGTGAATATATTGCATTCTCTGATTGGACAAGGTGGAGAGGAGGGGTGGTGACATTATCCACTTCGCTCAATCAGAGAATGCATTATATGCACTGAAAGATTACAGGGCTTTTGGTGAATGTTTAATGACGTTTGGCCTGTATTTATTTTATTATTATACGATTTATAAAGCGCCAATAGTTCGACAGCAATGTACTGAGGCAAAGGGGGCAGCTACAGGACAATGCGACGTACTCAATACGTACATGTGGGGACTGACCCTGCTCTTTGGAGAAATCTAGGAGGGACTGCCCGATAGGGTACAGGGGTAGCAGTAGGGGGACCTTTTTATAGCGCTTTTTTCCCGAGTTTGGGAAGGGCGGGGCAGCACAGGGGACCCCATAATTCTCTATTGCCCGGGGGCCCCGATGAGTTGTCAGTGCTCGCCCCCGCTACGCGTACGTCGCTCCCCCCTGGCTGTATGAACACGGGGGGGGAGAGCGTGCAGCACTCACACCCCCCCCCCCGGACCTCGCGACTGTTGTGTGTCACAGCGGAATGAACATCCCAGTGAACCAGACCCGCTGATCATGTGATTGCTATGCGATCACATGATCACAATTTTAAGCAAAGCTGTTATGAATCAATCTCATTCATAACAGCTCTGCTTCCTCCTGTGCCCACAGCTGTCACATGATACATGGGGTCATGCACCCTGACCATGTGAGCTAGCTCCAGACAATCACAGATCACTATCCCGAGCTGTCAAAACTTAACTCATTTATGACAGTTCTTGAATGAGTTAGGTTCATGACGGCAAGCTTTGAATTGCAGGAGAAATGATCTTTATTTCTCCTGCAAAGCAAAGTGTAAAATCGAAAAAAATAATAATCCCTGATCACAATCACACACCCCCCCCCCCACCCCCACAGTAGTACAACGTTGCACTACTCTGATAAAAGTTGTTTTGAAAAAATAATTTAAAAAAGTTTTAAAAAAAAAATACCATATTGAGAATTTAAAAAAAAAAATTTTTTAAGAGTTTCTTTTTTTTTTTTAACTACTTGCCAGACGCTTACCCATTTTGTGGGTGAGCAGCAGCTCTTGGCAAAGTGATATAATTTTGTGTCACTTCCTATTTTGGGGTGTGTACACACCTGCCCCCCCTGCCCCACACCCCCCACCTGTCAGTCCAGGGAGAGAAGAGAGAACACAGCACCCAGTAAAAGCACCACTACATTTTACACACACGTTAGATTAGCACATTTAACCCTTTGATCGCCCCCTATTAACCCTTTGATCACCCCGTCACCCAGCCAGTGCCATTAGTACAGTGTCAGTATATAGAATTTTTCACTGATCACTGTATTCCTGCCACTAGCGACATCAGATAACGTCAGGGTCAGTAAGCGCCCCAACCAGCCAGGGTCAGCTAGCGTTAGATTGCCCACACACTATCGCACTCGCGCTATAGGTCGCTGATCGCCGCCATTACTAGTATAGTGTTTGTACGGATCAAGATATTGATTACAAACAGAACTATACTAGTGCCTCCTTTGTATAGTGTCCCCAAAAACGCAGAGTTAGCAGGATGGGCCCCGTTCGCTGCCAGCACTTGCGTTTAGCCCTTCCGCTGTTTTTCACAGAAGATTTGTATCAATTGATTGTGGGCCAAGGCAATTTATACACAACAATACATCTCCGCCCACCCAAATTCAGCTCTTGCCAGACAATTTGCATGGAAACCTATCACGGTTTTCTGCATTTAAAGCTCTTTTGGGCCTAACCTTCAACATGGGCATTGCAGAAATGAATGAATTGTGGTCTTATTGGTCCACAGAGCCAATTCATCGTATGTCTGTGTTCTCTGCTGTTTCATATATGCCCAACATGGACCAGCAATGTACTGGTACATCCCTGCACTTTGAGTGGTTATACTGGGATGATGCTTGCAGCTACAGACATCATCCTGGAATCAATTTTTTCAGCTGGCGGTCAGCTTTCATGTAAAAGCAATCCTAGTGGCCAATTAGCTGTTTTTACGAGCTGCAGGAAGGGACACCCCCTTTCTTGCTGCCTTCCACAGTTTTTTTTGGACTCATCTGTCTCACAGGGGAATCCAAGAATGCAGCCGGAAGTTCCGCTGGCTGACCATAGAGCTGGTCAGAGACCAAAATGGCTCCAATCATCTCTATAGTCTAAGAGACCGGAAGCTACGAGCATTTCATCACTTCAATTTTGCAGGATATATAACAACGCCTTTTGTAAATTGGTGAGATTAGATAATGTAAGGGAAGAGGAGATATCTAGATTCTGATAGACCTAGATCTATGGCAATTCCCATTGAAGTTATAGGGGATATTAGCATTCCCTGTGATAGCATTAAAATTGATTTAAAAAAAAAAAAAAATGAAATGGACAGTGTAAAATTTAAAAAACGAAAACAAAAAAAAAGCACTCTTGTCCCCCTGCGTGCGCAAGCATTGACCCCTCTCCAGTATGTATATCATTAACCCTTTGAGGACCGTAAGATTTTGGAACGCCAAAAGAATCAATTTTTTTGTTTTTTAAAGTTCGTACACTTCAGTTGCTGTAACTAAGCCATTTCATGAAATAATTGGCAAAAAGCTAGATCCATTTGTTGTTTGTTGATAAGAACTAATATTTTGACTCAAACCAAAAAAAAAAGAGTTCTAAGTTCTTAATCAGATGATACACGCAATTCAAAACATGGGACAAATACGTCCCTTGGTCCTCAAAGGGTTAAAGTGACAACTTTGTGTTTAAAAAAAAAAATTGTCATATTCAAAAAAATTTGTGGCAAAAAATAAAATGTTCCATGGACTCAATACGCCTCTCTGCAAAATCCTTGGGATGTCTACTTTCCAAAAAGGGGTCAATTGGGGAGGTTGTACTGCCCTGGCATTTTAGCACCTTAAGAAATGTGATAGGCAGTCAGAAAGTAAAAGCTACGTAAAATATATATTGAAATATATTGAATATGGCCAAAATTGTAGCATTTCAAATATATGTCAATAGATTTGGGAAGAATATTTTTAAAATATATTTCAAATATCTTTTTCTTCCATGTGGGTACTAATGAGTGTTCCTGCACAGTACAGCATCTCCTTTTTTCCAGTTGCAGTACACAGCAGGAGAAATATTAGCACAGTAAAAAAAATAAAAGACTAAAACGTAGTATGTTTGGAACCATAATATACTAAATACAGCTGGATTTGTCTTTATGTCCCCCATTATTTTGTTGTTGAAAGCAGGACTCGCTGGAGCTGGAATGGAGGATGTCCCATCCTGAGCCAATTACTGTTCCCTACCTCAGTCCTCTTGTAGTATGGAAAGAACTGGAAAGCTTACTGGAAAATGAGGGGGACCCATCCATTACAGTCCCAGGCTTCGTGGACCATCACCCCATCGTCTTCTGGAATTTGGTGTGGTATTTTCGGAGACTGGACCTTCCCAGCAACCTGCCTGGATTAATCCTTTCCTCCGAACATTGTAACCAGCATTCAAAGGTAGGTGGAAAGCAGGATCTAAGTGTCCAGTCTGCAGTATGTTGATGGGTGGCTTCATTCGCCTGATTCGGAGGCTAGGATTTTCCTATTGATGAAACTTCAGACTGAAAAATTGAATTTTTTTTACTTGCCATGAAATCCCTTTCTCTGAGTTCATTGGTGGACACAGCTCTTGTGATTCTTGACCATAGGTTACAGAGCCAGCTACAGGAGTAGGACACTAGGCAGAAAAAGAACTCATCACCACCTATGGGCAGTCACTTCTGGCATAAAACTGCCTTTCTGCCATAGGGAAGCCAGCTAGTTACAAGGCAGTGTAAAGCAGGCCATACATGGGTTGAATTCCAAATGATTTTTCGATCAAAAACTTTGTTGTGTAATCCAATGGCGCCACCAATGATTTCGAAAATCGGTCCTTTTTCACGAATTTTCCAACATGCCGATAAACGAAATGGGGAGGAACCACAAAAATCAGCCGGTGCCATTGCCCCACTAACAGAGCGAAAATTGGTCAATTATTCTTAGGTCTGATTTTTGAACGAAAAACCGTTCAGAAATCGACCCATGTATGGCCGGCCTTAGAAGGAGCAACTCCAATAGCGCGAGGTGGGTGCTGTGTCTGTCACTGAACTCAGAGAAAGGAATTTTACAGTGAGTAACAACAATCCCGTTTTCTCTTATGTTCATTGACTGGCACATCTCTCTTCTGATTCTTGACCATAAGGGACGTCCCAAAGCAGTGTCTGAAGAACATAGCACCCAGACCCATACTAATGTGTCATACGAAGTCAAAATAAATATAATATTTATTTATATATTTATTTGTCGTACTCTGCTGACAAATTCAGTATATGATATACAATTACAAAAGAACTTTGCCAAAAACAATATCAATATTCCAAAACTGAGCGTCCAAAAAAATGATACAATGATACCAATGATGGGGCACTATTCCTCCCACTGATACCAATGATGGGACACTATTCCTCCTCCTCCTGATGGGGCACTATTCCTCCCACTGATACCTGACACTATTCCTCTGATATGATATTCCTCCCACTGATACCAATGATGGGGCACTATTCCTCCCACTGATACCAATGATGGGGCACTATTCCTCCCACTGACACCAATGATGGGGCACTATTCCTCCCACTGACACCAATGATGGGGCACTATTCCTCCCCTGACACCAATGTGGGGCACTATTCCTCCCACTGATACCAATGATGGGGCACTATTCCTCCCACTGATACCAATGATGGGGCACTATTCCTCCCACTGATACCAATGATGGGGCACTATTCCTCCCCCTGACACCAATGATGGGGCACACTATTCCTCCCCCTGACCAATGATGGGGCACTATTCCTCCCCCTGACACCAATGATGGGGCACTATTCCTCCCCCTGACACCAATGATGGGGCACTATTCCTCCCCCCCCAATGATGGGGCACTACCTCCCCCTGACACAATGATGGGGCACTATTCCTCCCCCTGACACCAATGATGGGGCACTATTCCTCCCACTGACACCAATGATGGGGCACTATTCCCCCCCCTGACAACAATGATGGGGCACTATTCCTCCCCCTGACACCAATGATGGGGCACTATTCCTCCCCCTGACACCAATGATGGGGCACTATTCCTCCCCTGTCACCAATGATGGGGCACTATTCCTCCCCCTGACACCAATGATGGGGCACTATTCCTCCCCCTGACACCAATGATGGGGCACTATTCCTCCCCCTGACACCAATGATGGGGCACTATTCCTCCCCCTGACACAAATGATGGGGCACTATTCACTATTCCTCCCCCCAATGACACCAATGATGGGGCACTACTCCTCCCCCTGTCACCAATGATGGGGCACTACTGTCACCAATGATGGGGCACTACTCCTCCCCCTGTCACCAATGATGGGGCACTACTCCTCCCCCTGTCACCAATGATGGGGCACTACTCCTCCCCCTGTCACCAATGATGGGGCACTACTCCTCCCCCTGTCACCAATGATGGGGCACTACTCCTCCCCCTGTCACCAATGATGGGGCACTATTCCTCCCCCTGTCACCAATGATGGGGCACTACTCCTCCCCCTGTCACCAATGATGGGGCACTACTCCTCCCCCTGTCACCAATGATGGGGCACTACTCCTCCCCCTGTCACCAATGATGGGGCACTACTTCCCCCCCTGTCACCAATGATGGGGCACTATTCCTCCCCCTGTCACCAATGATGGGGCACTATTCCTCCCCCTGTCACCAATGATGGGGCACTATTCCTCCCCCTGTCACCAATGATGGGGCACTATTCCTCCCACTGTCACCAATGATGGGGCACACTATTCCCCCCACTGTCACCAATGATGGGGCACTATTCCTCCCCCCAATGATGTATTCACCAATGATGGGGCACTATTCCTCCCACTGATACCAATGATGGGACCATTCCTCCCCACCGATGATGGGGCACTACTCCTCCCACTGATACCAATGATGGGGCACTATTCCTCCCCTGGCACCAATGATGGGGCACTATTCCTCCCACTGATACCAATGATGGGGCACTATTCCTCCCACTGACACCAACAATGGGGAACACTATTCCTCCCACTGATACCAATGATGGGGCACTATTCCTCCCACTGATACCAATGATGGGACACTATTCCTCCCACTGACACCAATGATGGGGCACTATTCCTCCCACTGATACCAATGATGGGGCACTATTCCTCCCACTGATACCAACGATGGGGCACTATTCCTCCCACTGATACCAACGATGGGGCACTATTCCTCCCACTGATACCAACGATGGGGCACTATTCCTCCCACTGATACCAATGATGGGGCACTATTCCTCCCACTGATACCAACAATGGGGCACTATTCCTCCCACTGATACCAACGATGGGGCACTATTCCTCCCACTGATACCAATGATGGGGCACTATTCCTCCCACTGATACCAATGATGGGGCACTATTCCTCCCACTGATACCAATGATGGGGCACTATTCCTCTCCACTGACACCAATGATGGGGCACTATTCCTCCTACTGATACCAACAATGGGGCACTATTCCTCCCACTGACACCAATGATGGGGCACTAGTCCTCCTTCCACCGTCTAGAAGCACTATGTCATTTTCTTTTTTACTCCCACTGGCCACAGTCCACCCCCCTAAAGTCTGAAGGACAGTAAACCGGCCCTTTGTTTAGAAAGTTTGGAGCCCCCTGGACTAATGTAAAGACTTCATACAAATCACAGATTCTGTAGGTGTTTGCATTGTGCATATTCTTTATTTTCATTATTGTTCCGTTCCTGACAGATCCCTCGGAGCTCCATATCTGAGGACAGCAAACACGTCTTGATTCAAGTCTTGTGGGACAACCTGAAACTTCACCAGGACGTACGGCAGCCGCTTTACATTCTATGGAACACTCTAAGTAAGCTCTCTGCTTCTTCACCTTTATTGATAGCGAAGTTCTGCTGGAATTCAGGATTTGATGATTATCGATCTTATTTTCTACAGGTCAAAACTGCACTGTAGTTTATGAGAGTGAGTTCCTAGTGTCTGATTGTAATCTGTGTCTGTCTTTGCATGGCTACTTTTGCCGTGGAGAAGTCATGTGTTGTCACCTGTCCTGCTGATACGAGCAAATATGTAAAGGTGTCTGAAAGAACGTTTGTGCTGCTCATAGGAAGCCATATTAGCCTTTTTTATTTTTCAAAAGGGAGGAACTGATTGGTTGCTTAAAGTGGTTTTAAACCCTTACACATACCCAGTGAAGTGACACGCCTCAGGTGATGCACAGAAATGAAAAAAAAAAAATCCTCCTACAAAAGTTGTACCTGTTTATCTGCAGCTTCTCCCCTCTATAGCTGTTTAACCCTATTGCGGGCAGAGACGTTTTTGCACGTATGTTTGATAAATAATTTTAGACCCACAGATTACACAAAAAACCCCCAAACATGATATATTTTCTAAAAGCGGACACCCTAGAGAATAAAATAGCGGTAGATCCAATTTTTTATGTCGCAGGATATTACGGCGAAGGCCTAGGAAACGCTAAATTTCAGTGAATTTGAGGGCAAACAAATGCAATAAATTACCCCAATTTTTTGTAAAATATAAAAGATGAAATTGCATTGAGTAAATAGATACCGAGCATGTCAAACCTGAAATTTGCGTGCGCCTGTGAAGTGGCGACAAACTTCAGTACCCTACAATTTCTATAGGTAAAGCTTCAAAAGCCCCTACAGGTCATCAGTTAGAGGAGAAGGAGGTCTTGTGCTAGAATTATTGCTCTCGCTCCGGTGCGTGTGGCGATATGTAACAAGTGTATCGCAATTGACATTTTCACGCGTTGGCACCCCCGATGTGTGCGTTTTACGTGCATATATGTGGGGGTGGGGAGCCTCAATTTTTTTGGGGGGCAGGGGGGATGTTATGTGCTTGGGTGCAGCTTTTTCATCATATTTGATGATTTTTAGATGACAGGTTCTCTTTATTGAGACATGCAGGGTCTAGACCCCCAATGTCTCTTCTGGGCTCCTCTGAATGTATTGCAATGCAGATCTCATTGCAATTCATGTCTCCTATGGCTATTCTAGCTGAGGGAAGTGACAGCCATGACCTGGAAGTGACATCATACACATCGCTTTCTGGGTTACAGCAAGAAAGGGGAGGAGAGAAGACGTGTGTCCACTCCCCTCAACCCACCGGCACCCGCCATGTTGGCCTTGGGCCTGCAGATGGGCAAGTGGAGCCCAGAATACATAGCAGGACCATGGGGACACATTACCTGGGGCTGTGGAAGCAATCTGGTGCCAGCACAGCTGCTCAACTACTTCCACCTGACAGGCAGGAATCTGCCTGTCCACTTTAGACACAATCCTGTGGCTGCAGTCACCAGATTGTGTGTAAACCCCCCCAATGTTAAGTCTGTACAACGTACGGACCTGGCAGCAAAAGGGTTACAGTGTACACAGCATTTCTGTGGCAGAAAGTGCGGATCTGATGTCACACACTACGCAACATAGAGCAGGGAGCTAAGTATAATCTGAGACCTGAGTGGAGGGAAAGGACACGCCCCCATCTTACCAGGAAAACAGCAGAGGCTGTGAATCACATGGCATAACCTGTCAGAAGCTTCAGGTAGCAGAGGAAGAGGACAGCAGACAGAAATCACACTAAGTGCTTTAGAATGATACACACTATAGAAGTGCATACTATAGAAAGATTTCTTTCTATTATTTTTTTTTTTTCATTTCAGAGGTTTGCAACCACTTTGAAAGCACAGCCGTTATTCCGTAACACATTTTCATTTGTGGGGCCCATGAGCCAATACAGCTCTTTTCTCTGCTGGATATGTAAATGGCATGCACTGCCATGAATATCTCCAGTGACACTGCGTTCCACTGGAGAAAGTAATCATGGCGTTTATTTCCCCCGCATATCTAAACCCTTGAAAGAAAAAAAAAAAAGTAGTTCCTAAGGCTTTCACACGGGTGTACTTAGTGTACACCCGTGCGAAGGGCCATGTTTGCCCACACTGGACACGGAGGTGTTCCATCATGTATCCACATGCAAGCAGTCCCGCTTCTGTCTATTGGGAGCGGCAAGAGAAGGACGCTGCTCTCAGATTGACATCTGTGTGGGTGGGTGTCCCCAAACACACACAGTGGGAGTCTGGGGACACGTAGAGATGTCAGATTGGGAGTAGCAGTTGTGTCCGTGCAGCCGCTGCTCCAAATAGACATGACTAAGGGCTCATGTACACTGCAGCTGATAAACTCACGTTTAGGAGCTGTTCAGCGTTTTTTTTTTCAGCAGCCCCTGAACTACCCCTAATGTTCTCCTATGTGTCCATGTACACATCGTCCTTGACAGGCATTTGAGTTTACAGTCGTTCTTTTGAACGTACCAAACTTGTGTTCAGCAGTCGATTTTATCAGCTCTTCAAACGCACAATGCTTGTAAATGCAGCATAATGCATCAAATCGCGTTTATAAGCGTTCGCGTGTGAGTTTTTTTTTTTTAACTCTTCCAGTTCCCGTAGCTGTCCAGAGCCTTTTTTCATCATGAGAAATGCATGCAAAGTGTTCAAGGTACTCAGATGGACAAAACACTGAACACAGGATGTTCCACCAAGCTCCTCACACATTGTAATGACCAATTCACACCTCAGACCTCTCCCACCCTTGGAAACAAAAGATGTGTTAATGACCATTCACACCTCAGACCTCTCCCACCCTTGGAAACAAAAGATGTGTTCATGACCAATTCACACCTTAGACCTCTCCCACCCTTGTAAACAAACGATATGTTAATGACCAATTCACACCTCAGACCTCTCCCACCCTTGGAAACAAAAGATGTGTTAATGACCAATTCACACCTCAGACCTCTCCCACCCTTGGAAACAAAAGATATGTTAATGACCAATTCACACCTCAGACCTCTCCCACCCTTGGAAACAAAAGATATGTTAATGACCAATTCACACCTCAGACCTCTCCCACCCTTGGAAACAAATGATATGTTAATGACCATTCACACCTCAAATTCCTCATGCAGACCCCCTGCCAGGTGACCTTAATGACTCCCTCCACCAGACACCTTTCCCACCCTTGGAAACAAAAGAAACGTTAATGAGCAACTCACACCTAAGCTAATCTCAACACATACTGCTGTCTCTGCTTCTACTCTCTGTATTTCTCTGAAACAGTCTGAAATAGTTCATAATTTACCACTTTTCAGTGCATTCTGGGTATTTGGGAGGTTCTCCTGTGCTTATCTTTAAAAACGCTTCTAAACGCAAACACACATAAACGCGGCTAAACAGACATTTTTTAACCTACGTTTTCCAGCAGTCAGTTTCCATCGTTCAGAAGTGTCCCGTGTACATGGAGCCTAAGACTGCCTGCATATGGATGCATGTAAAACCTGTGCATCCTGCGAAAGGAAACATTGCCAGAACAAGGTCCAATTCTGATACATCACTCAGTCCTGGCAACACACTTTTTTTTTTTGTGACCGAAGCCTACCGCCGTTCATGGTGTGCTCAAACATAGAGACGTTGGAATTGACCACCAATGACCACACTGTGTCCAAACCAGAAAGAAAAGCAAAAAAAAATGGTCTCGGCAGTGCAGATTTGTCTTCCTGTGTGTAAACTGTACTGTCTGTCGTTTTATTGCCAATGACTTTTCTGCATGCATGTGTGTAGTGCCCCACCTCTGTATTCCAGGCTCCGATCTGTGCTCTTGGATTTCCTGACATGAGTGTTGGTGGGTCAATCAATGGTTGACCAGCTCATGTGATGTAGAAAAACTTGCACCGAGATCTGGGCGCTGTGTGTGGATTGTGCTGTCTGTAACGTCTGCAGTTTGTTTTTATTGTTTTCGTTATTTACAATCCTGTATATGTTGACAAAAAAGAAAAATCCATTACTTTGCAGTTTGATGAAGTTGGATAAAGCACGTTGTATAGTTTGTAGCGGTGCGTTCCAGACTTGCAAGTGATAGAATGGCATGTGGAGAGAAGTGTTCACCAGGGGCGGACTGACAACTCATGGGGCCCCCGGGCAATAGGGTATCATGGGACCCCTGTGTCCTTGCCGACACTCAAAGCACACCCAAAAAAGCCTATAAAAAAGGTCCCAGGGGCATTTCATGGGGCCCCCTACTGACCCTGGGCCCTCGGCAGTGCCCGAATGCTCGAATGGTCAGTCCGCCCCTGGTGTTCACATTCAGAGTTTTGCATTAAAGTCAGTAGGAGGCGTTTTTGCATTGAAGTCAATGGGAGGCCGTGTGTGAACCCAGGCGCCAGGATACAATTTCAAGTCGCCATGGCTACCTTGGTGCCTGGGATTTGTCGAGTCCTGCCTTAAGGACTGTTTATACTGTACACGTGTTGCTCTCTGAAGAGAGTGCCATATTCAGTTCAGTCTTTAGAGGGTATTTGAGAGACAGTGAGGTATTATTAGATCTCCTCCTCATCGCCTACATTAGCCCCATAAACTAGAATAATTTTTTCCAATTATTCATGCATAGTCACAGGGAGCACCAACCTTCATAAGTCAGTGTGCCAAAACACATTGTCCTGTGTACATCGGGAGCTGTGCAATGGCATCTATTCGTTACCATGTTTGCTGTTTTATCATGGATAGCAAGTTAGAACATATAGTTACATAGTCTGGCTGAAAAAAGACAAAAGTCCATCCAGTTCAACCATTAAAAAAAAAGTTATAATCCTACACCCACAGTTGATCCAGAGGAAGGCAAAAAAAACCAGCAAAGCACGATCCAATTTGCTCCTGCTGGGAAAAAAATTCCTTTCTGATCCCCCGAGAGGCAATCAGATATTCCCTGGATCAACTTTACCTATACGGTTGTGCTCAAAAGTTTGCACACCCTGGCAGACATTGTGAAATTTAGGCATTGGTACAGACACATGGGTTAAAATGCCAATGGCTGCAATCATTCTTGGTCTACCTGACCTTGGCTTGGTATCAAGAGATCCCTGAACTTTCCACTTCTTAATAGGTGATGTAGAGTACTGATTGGCATATTCAAGGCTTTGGACATCTTTTTATGTCCTTTTCCATCTTTATAAAGTTCCATTACCTTGCTAAGCAGGACTTTTGACAGTTCTTTTCTGATCCTCATGGCTCAGTATCTAGCCTAGTCAGTGCTTCCATGTAAGAGCTAGAACAAACTCATTGACTAATTATACACTGACACTAATTGCAATGTAAAAAGCCACAGATGTGGGACATTAACCTCTAATTGGCATTTTAACCCGTGTGTGTCACCTTGTGTGTCTGTACCAAGGCCAAACATTCCAGGGGGGCGGAGACTTCTGATCCGGGGCGGAGACTTTTGATCCGGGGGAGCTGTTACTTCTGATTTGGAGCCAAGACTTCTGATCCGGGGGGGCGGAGACTTCTGATCCGGGGGGCGGAGACTTCTGATCCGGGGGCGGAGACTTCTGATCCGGGGGGGCGGAGACTTCTGATCCGGGGGGCGGAGACTTCTGATCCAGGGGCGGAGATAATCTGGGAGCGGAGACTTCTGATCCGGGGGCGGAGACTTCTGATCCGGGCCATTTGGGTGATTTCTGTTATCATTATGATTTAAAAAGGAGCCAAACGACTATTTGATAATAAATGGCTTCATCTGATCATCATCCTTCAATAAAAGAGCATTTTGTGGCATGATCAGTCATATTTTCAATATCAATGCCAAAATTTCACACTTTTTTGCCAGGGTATGCAAACTTTTGAGCACAACTGTAAATGTTAGAATATAATTATATGGTTCTACCATTGCAGTAGAGACTTGTGGAGCAGGATGGTTCTGTCTCTCCAGTCTAAGCATTGATAGTGTGATCTCTGTAACTTACAGTTGTGATGAGATAGCGATAACTCCAATCTTAGTTGAATAACACAGGCAGTGACTCAATCCAGACGACACCTTGTAGATCTTGTGAAGTTTATTCCATAAACTGAGAGAATCGTACAACAATGAACATCAGATAGGTCAAAAGATCATCATGTGATCTGCTTCCATGAGGCATGAAGCTGAAATGCATTTCTGGGAAAGGGGGTGGGGCTATCTATACAGCAGAACTAAACCAGAGGAAAGGGAGGAGCAGAGACAAAATACAGAGAACACTTAAAGGTATATGACAGTCATGTGAAACATGACAAGGATAATAGAGAATTCCAGGTTTGATTTCTTTCCATAATCAACCGAAAGACGCTCCATCGACAGGGCAATTTTTAGACATTTTGCCAAGGCACCCCTGAAGAAACCTCAAGGCACCCCAAGGTGGGCACCCTGGTTGAAAAAGGCTGCTATAGACAACAATGGGGATAATCCGGTGTATTCATCTCTGCAGTGCAATGGTCCATCCATGCAGGGTGATAATGTTGCACATGTGTATGAAGACTGATTGTTTTTGGAAAGTTCTTAGATCCTCTGCCCTGCATATGAAATGCTCAAATTCTATTTTATTTTACCTGTTGGGCAGAAAAGGCTTTAATCAAACTAACAATGCGGAATAATTGGTCCAGATTGGAGCAATGTAAGTATTTATCTACTTGGGCCATCGCTGGAGATCACAAGCGCTGCTACTACAGTGATTGCCACTGGCTTCTAGGTCATGTGTTCAGCGGCTGCCCTGCTGCATAGTGAGCACAGGAGGTTGCTTGCTCAGCATGGGAACCAATCAGAGAACACTTTGCATTCTCTCATTGAATGCAAAGCGTTTCCGTATTGGATTGGTGGAGAGATGGGGCAGTGATGTCGCAATCTCCAGCTTGTCCAATCAGAGAATGCTTTCTATTCATTCAGAAAAAATATCAGATATTCCATGAATGTTGCCTAGGGGCAGCACAGTGGCTAAATGGTTAGCACTTCCGCCTGGCAGTACTTGGGTCGTTGGTTCAAATCCCAACCACCTGCCTGGAGTTTGCATGTTCTCCCTGTGCCTACGTGCAGCCACACAACACCAAACAATCCCCCACCCCCACCCCACCTATCTCCTAGACATTCGGGCAGCACAGTGGCTAAATGGGCAGCACAGTGGCTAAATGGTTAGCACTTCCGCCTGGCAGTACTCGGGTCGTTGGTTCAAATCCCAACCACCTGCTGGAGTTTGCATGTTCTCCCTGTGCCTACGTGCAGCCACACAACACCAAACAATCCACAACCCCCACCCCACCTATCTCCTAGACATATGGGCAGCACAGTGGCTAAATGGTTAGCACTTCCGCCTGGCAGTACTTGGGTCGTTGGTTCGAATCCCAACCACGGCACCACCTGCCTGGAGTTTGCATGTTCTCCCTGTGCCTACGTGGGATTCCTCCGGGTATTCCAGTTTCCTCCCACACTCCAAAGACATGCTGGGAGGTTAATTGGATCCTGTCTAAATTGTCTCTAGCATGTGTATGTATGAGTATAAATTAGGGACCTTAGATTGTACGCCCCTTGAGGGTTAGGGACTGATGCAAATGTACAATATATATGTAAAGCGCTATATACCGTAAGTACCTGTAGTAATAATAATACAGTTGAGGTGACTTCTTGTTTTCATAAGCTGCTCGACACGGGATCCGGAGGACGGGGGCAGTTCCTGTGGTAGCGGTGCCTACTACAGGGATTTCCAGCTTCCACAGGGGTTGGCCAGACATGGCACATACATGGCACAGACATGGCACATACATACTTAACATAACAAATAGCAGTATGACAGGTGCAATACTGCTCACACAAAGTGGTTACTTGAAGATCCAAGCGGAGTAATATTATTAATAATTACAAAAAAACTTTATTCGATCACATGGATCATAAAGAGGTCAGACAGAGACATGGTAAACAGATCATTATAAAATCACTAAGTTAAAAACATTTGGCGTCTCCAGATCTAATGATTATTCGGCAATCAGGAATCCACATAAAGCAATGAAGTTCCTAACTACTTGATCAAAGAATGTTCATATTTTCCATACGATATCTGCATAGGGAGATCATTCTTCAAAAAAATGTTTTTGGTAACCACCACAATGGATAGAATGACTTCCTGAAATGGAAAAACCAAAAAAGGAGGGATCATAGTAGAGGGAACAAAAACAGGATATATGCACTAACCATATGCAGTAACAAAGTAACCCCATAACAGGTATATATGTTATTCCATTACCTTCTCATAAGCTTGACCATCATTAACCGTTTCAATACCGGGCAATTTCCCCCCTTCCTGCCCAGGCCATTTTTCAGGTTTCAGCCCTCTCACACTTTTGAATGACAATTGCGCGGTCATACAACATTGTACCCAAACTAAAATGTTATCATTTTCTTCACACAACTAGAGCTTTCTTTTGGTGGTATTTAATCACTGCTGGGGTTTTTATTTTTTGCTAAATTAACAAAAAAAAAGACCAAAAATTTTGAAAAAAAAACACATTTTTCTTTGTTTCTGTTATAAAAGTTTACAAATAAATAATTGTTCTTCATAAATTTAGGCCGAGATGTATTCTGCTACATGTCTTTGGTGAAAATAACCCAAATTAGGATGTATTATTTAGTTTGTATGAAAGTTATAGAGTTCACAAACTATGGTATAGATCTGAATATTGATCAATCCTGAAGTACTGACAGCCAATCTAATTTCTTGAGGTCCAAGAATGTCAGAACAGTACAGATATCCCCCAAATGTCAGGACAGTACAGATATCCCCCAAATGTCAGAACAGTACAGATACCCCCCCAAATGTCAGAACAGTACAGATATCCCCCAAATGTCAGAACAGTACAGATATCCCCCAAATGTCAGGACAGTACAGATATCCCCCAAATGTCAGGACGGTACAGATATCCCCCCAAATGACCCCTTTTTGCAGAGTAGTCAGTCCAACGTACTTCATAAGAGGAATGGCGAGTTTTTTGAAGTTGTATTTTTTTGTCATAATTTTTCGGAAAATGAAAAAAATTATTTTCACAATTTTTTTTTTTTTTTACATACTGTCACCAGTGCAGTACAGCGTCATCATATAACTGGCATGGCGGTGAACAGGGACACTGACTGGTGACAGTATGAAAAAAAATATATATATATATTTTTTTTTTTTTTTTTTTTTTTTATTATTTAAATTTTTTATTAAATTTTTTTTTATTTTTTTTAAGATTTTTTTTTCATATTTTACTATGACCAAAGTAGTACAATGTTACCATAGTAACATTGTACTACTTTGGGGAAGTGATCAGTATTTTTTTTTTTTTTTTACACAATTTGCTTATAGCAAAGAATTACTTTGCTTGCATTTTACCTGAATGACATCGATTCATTCGCTTTTTCTTTTTTTCTTTTGTGCTTAGCTGTGATTTGTTCATCATTTGGCATCATGAATGAAGCCATCCATTGTATACAACTGTCATGTGACCTGCTGTGATTGGTCACAGCAGGTCACATGGTACCAGCAACGGGAGCCGGTACTCGGATCTGTCATCGGTCGTGTCCGAGGTGCACGGCCGGTGACAGATCGCACTGCTGCGCCGTTCTGCATTACCGCGTAAACTGCGCATGTGCGGGAGCACGCCAAATGGCGTGCACCCGGAATGCAGGAACACTTTTCAAGCCACCAAACGGCCATTGGCCAGGCGGCTAATGGTTAAAGGATGGATATATGGCCTTTCTGGGTAACCACCCCAGATGGAAATGTATCCACAGTAGTAAGTGATTCTAAAAGTGTATAAATGTGAGACATAAATATCAAACAACAAACCTGAATTGAACTAAATAAGGGTAAAAATCTCTAAATATTACCATACAGTAATTAGGTTAATTGGCTCCTGTCTAATTGGCCCTAGTATGTGTATGTATGAATGTGAGTTAGGGACCTTAGATTGTACGCCCCTTGAGGGTTAGGGACCTTAGATTGTACGCCCCTTGACTGATGTGAATGTACAATATATATGTAAAGCGCGGTGTACATTGATGGCGATATATAAGTACCTGAAATAAATAACTAAAATGTTGTGTCTGATTGCAGCCCAGGAGCATCCTCTGGCTCTTGCACAGCAGGAGGATGAAAACGTTGATCAGGAGTTTCTGCAAGGCCTAGTGAAGAGCATCAAGAACAACAATGTGTATGGACCTATGAGCCAAATTCTCGAGTCTCTGCAGCACAGCCACAAAGCAACACGGCAAAGGTACTGTAATGCTGAAAAGACATTTGTAATTCTATCATAGTGTGGAATCAGGGGGGGACAACCCTGTCCAGCCGCTGCCTACCATAGACTCCGACACAGGCTGCCTGCAGCTGGGCTGGATGGGGGTACCTGTCATACCCAGGAGCACTGTGGATGAATGGCCCTGTATGCAAGGAACCTTGAGCGTGCCATTGATGGTCCCTGCTGAGCCGGCCATTGATGGTCCCTGCTGAGCCGGCCATTGATGGTCCCTGCTGAGCCGGCCATTGATGGTCCCTGCTGAGCCGGCTATTGATGGTCCCTGCTGAGCCGGCTATTGATGGTCCCTGCTGAGCCGGCCATTGATGGTCCCTGCTGAGCCGGCTATTGATGGTCCCTGCTGATCCGGCCATTGATGGTCCCTGTTGAGCTGGCCTTTGAGGGTCCCTGTTGAGCCGGCTTTGAGGGCCCCTGCTGAGCCGGCTTTGAGGGCCCCTGCTGAGTCGGCCATTGATGTTCCCTGCTGAGCCGGCCATTGATGGTCCCTGCTTAGCTGGCTGTTGATGGTCCCTGCTTAGCCGGCCGTTGATGGTCCCTGCTTAGCCGGCCGTTGATGGTCCCTGCTGAGCCGGCCGTTGATGGTCCCTGCTGAGCCGACCGTTGATGTTCCCTGCTTAGCCGGCCGTTGATGGTCCCTGCTTAGCCGGCCGTTGATGGTCCCTGCTTAGCCAGCCGTTGATGGTCCCTGCTTAGCCGGCCGTTGATGGTCCCTGCTTAGCCGGCCGTTGATGGTCCCTGCTGAGCCGACCGTTGATGGTCCCTGCTGAGCCGACCGTTGATGTTCCCTGCTTAGCCGGCCGTTGATGGTCCCTGCTTAGCCGGCCGTTGATGGTCCCTGCTTAGCCGGCCGTTGATGGTCCCTGCTGAGCCGACCGTTGATGGTCCCTGCTTAGCCGGCCGTTGATGGTCCCTGCTTAGCCGGCCATTGATGGTCCCTGCTTAGCCGGCCATTGATGGTCCTGCTTAGCCGGCCGTTGATGGTCCCTGCTTAGCCAGCCGTTGATGGTCCCTGCTTAGCCGGCCGTTGATGGTCCCTGCTGAGCCGCCATTGATGGTGCCTGCTGAGCCGGCCGTTGATGGTGCCTGCCTGCTGAGCCGGCCGTTGATGGTCCCTGCTTAGCTGGCCATTGATGGTGCCTGCTGAGCCGGCCATTGATGGTGCCTGCTGAGCCGGCCATTGATGGTGCCTGCTGAGCCGGCCATTGATGGTGCCTGCTGAGCCGGCCAATATTCTAGTCACCTATGGGCCGTCTGATTGTACCCAAGTCTATTCGTCAGTGGACTTGGGTACAACCATCATGTCGGATTATTGCCAGTGGCTATAGCCCCAAGCAGTAATCACTGTGTTCTGGCAGGGAAGGCTCCCCACACCAACACCCACCTTCCCACCTGAGAGGCGCTGGCTTCACCTTGGCTTACTCATTCACAGCTCTATGGCGGAATGAGTAGGGAAACCTCTGGCCCATTGTAATATCCTGTCGGTATAAACATTGGATTTCTCACTTCTGTGTGCTGGACGTTTGTATTTTGCAGATTTCACAAGCCTTCTCTTTGTTTTTTGTAGGAGTTTATACAGAGAGATTCTCTTCCTGTCTCTCGTTGCCCTCGGAAGAGAGAACATTGACATAGGTGAGATTTGTGTGTTGTCCAATCACTGCTTCTGCTTTCCATCCTTTCTTCTCATCCATACTGCTCAGAATACAATGTATCCCCTTGCCTACCGGGCACTTATACCCAGTGGTGTATTTAGGTTTTGTGCTACCCTAGGCAACATAAAAATCGTCTGCCCCCACAGACACCGACCAACAGCCCCTCCTCCCTTCCTTCCCCTCCCCCCTTCCTTCCCCTCCCCCCTTCCTTCCCCTTCCCGCAGAAAGAGCCTGACATTGCTGACATTGACCAACACCCCTACCCGGGAGAGCCTTCCACTACCCCCCGGCTATAGAGAAAAAGACACTCATCTTCACAGCTCCAGACATCCGTAGGAACAAGAGTCAGACTCTACATACACCATCAAGCAGCCCGCAGTCTCTCTCGGATCCCACCTGGTTCCCATGGCACGTCTGTCCCTTCTTTCATCCCTTCTTCTAGGGGGAGGTGCTGCCCCCCTAAAAAATGCCGCCCTAGGCAAGCGCCTTGTTTGCCTTGTGGTAAATGTTCCCCTGCTTATACCCCCTTCCTGCCCAGGCCAATTTTCAGCTTTCAGCGCTGTTGCACTTTGAATGACAATTGCGCGTTCATGCAACACTGCACCCATATGAAATATTTATCATTTATTTCACACAAATAGAGCTTTCTTTTGGTGGTATTTAATCACCACTGGGGTTTTTTCATTTATTGCTAAATAAAAGAAAAAAAGACTTAATTGTGGAAAACACATTTTTTTTACGTTCTTGTTATAAAAGTTTGTAAATAAATAATTGTTCTTCAGAAATTTAGGCCAAAATGTATTCTGCTGCATTTCTTTGGTGCAAATAACTCAAATTAGTGTATATTATTTAGTCTGTAGGAAAGTTATAGAGTCCGCAAACTATGGGATAGATCTGAAAATTGATCCATCCTGATGTACTGATGGCCGATCTCATTTCTTCTGGCCCAAAAATGTCAGGACAGTACATATACCCCCAAATGACTCCTGTTTGGAAAGTAGACAGTCAGAGGTATTTAGTAAGAAGCATAGCAAGTTTTTTGAAGATGTAGTTTTTTTGTCTTTTTTTTTTTATTAGTTTTGGAAAATGAAGACATTTATTTTACTTATTTATTTTTATACTGTCACCGGCACAGTAAGTACTCATATAACTGGTGTGGCGATGATCTGGGACACTGACTGTTGACAGTACGAAAACATGTATTAATTATTAATTTTTTATTTTTCTATTAATATTTTCTCTTTTTTTATTACTTTTTTTTTTAAGCACTTCCAGTCCGGACACTTCCCCCCCCCCCTTCCTGACCAGGCCAATTTTCAGCTTTCAGCGCTATCACACTTTGAATGACAATTACACGGTCATGCAACACTGTATTCATATGAATTTTTTAGCATTTTTTTAAACAGATAAAGCTTTATTTTGGTTGTATTTATTCACCACTGGGATTTTTTTTTTGCTATGTAAATTAAAAAGTCCAAAAATTTTGAAAAAAAACTGTTTTTCTTATAAAATTTTGCAAATAAATAATATTTCATCATAAATCTTGGCCAAAATTTATTCTGTTATATTTTTAGTAAAAAAAAAAAACCCAAATTAGTTTATAACCAAAAATTATAATTTTTAAACATTTTTGAAGCCATCCATTGTATGCAACTGTCATGTGACCTGCTGTGATTGGTCACAGTAGGTCACATGGTACCGGCAACGGGGCCGATGCTCAGATCTGTTATCGGCCGTGTCCAAGGTACACGGCCGGTGACAGATCACGCCGCTGCGCGGCTCTGCAGGAGCGCAAATTGCGCATGTGCGGGAGGATGCCAAATGGCGTGCACCCGGAAAACTAAAGCTTTTGCCCGCCGCCATTCGGCCATAGGCCGGGTGGCAAATGGTTAATCAGTGTATTTTTTTCCAAAAAATATATATTCATTTTTAAAAACTGCACGTTTGGGGGGATATATTGTTTCTTGTTCATCAAATTGTATTTTAGAAAAAAAAAAAAAAAAAATTTTTTTTTTTTAAAAACTGTGCATTTCGATTTTCGACCAAGTGCATTTTGGAGTTTCGGTTTTGGCACCAGAATTTTCCTTTTTGGTGCACCACTAGTTTTTGGTTCTAAAGACTTCAATGGAAACGCTGCAGAAAAGCATGTATTGCCTTTTGCATTTTAAATCTGCCTAGCAACAAGAAAATTTTAAGAAAATAAAAAAAACACAGGTGCAAAAACACAATGCAAAACGCAATACAGAATTGACTCAAACGCAACCTGCATAGCAACAGCATAGTGTGAATAGTATATAAAGAGACAAAAAGAGGGCACACAGGCCTAGTGCATTACCTTAACCTCTTGGCGCTGGCCGAACGCAAATGCGCGGCCTCCCGGCGTCTGGGCCTAGACGCCAAGCAGCTGCACATTTGTGTTCTCAGCACACGTCCGGTACTCACGGAAAGGTCCCGATCTCTTTCGATCAGGACCTTTCCCGATCATGTGACGGCGGTCACATGACCCTAAGCCCCGCCCCGCCTCCCAGCTTCTGAAACCCTTAAAGGGTCGGGAGGCGCCGGCGCCAAGGGGTTTATTGATAAAATAAGTATAATACTCACAAGAGAAATAAAATCAAATGGAAAGCATGTCACAGGGAATGCAGTGTGGTCCAAAAAGCCCCTATAGGTAGTCTGTTGGGGTCTGTAGACCTCTGGATAGCTGGTGGCTGACACATTTCGAGGTTCTACCTCTTCCTCAGCCAGTCATAGGTGTGAACCTAGCCTTATGAATGTCCCTGTGACTGTGCGTGCAGCCTTGTGCTGCCATCTGTTGGCGTGTTACAAAACTAGTCTTGAAACTTTTTGATACCACCTTGTATCCGTATTTGTCAGTACATCTCTCCATCCATCTCTCGCCATCCAGTGTACTCATTTCATATCATATGGGCAGCACAGTGGCTAAATGGTTAGCATGGTTAGCACTTTCGCCTGGCAGTACTCGGGTCGTTGGTTCAAATCGCAGCCACGGCACCTCCTGCCTGGAGTTTGCATGTAATCCCTGTGCTTGCGTGGGTTTCCTCCGGGTACTCCGGTTTCCTCCCAAACTCCATAGACATGCTGGTAGGTGAATTGGCTCCTGTATAAATTGGCCCTAGTATGTGTATGTATGAATGTAAGATGGGGGACCTTAGATTGTTCACCCCTTAGGGGTTAGGGACCTTAGATTGTACACCCCTTCAGGGTTAGGGACCTTAGATTGTACACCCCTTCAGGGTTAGGGACCTTAGATTATACACCCCTTCAGGGTTAGGGACCTTAGATTATACACCCCCTTCAGGGTTAGGGACCTTAGATTGTACACCCCTTCAGGGTTAGGGACCTTAGATTGTACACCCCTTGAGGGTTAGGGACCTTAGATTGTACACCCCTTCAGGGTTAGGGACCTTAGATTGTACACCCCTTAGGGTTAGGGACCTTAGATTGTACACCCCTTCAGGGTTAGGGACCTTAGATTGTACACCCCTTCAGGGTTAGGGACCTTAGATTGTACACCCCTTCAGGGTTAGGGACCTTAGATTGTACACCCCTTCAGGGTTAGGGACCTTAGATTGTACACCCCTTCAGGGTTAGGGACCTTAGATTATACACCCTTCAGGGTTAGGGACCTTAGATTGTACACCCCTTCAGGGTTAGGGACCTTAGACACCCCTTCAGGGTAGGGACCTTAGATTGTACACCCCTTCAGGGTTAGGGACCTTAGATTGTACACCCCTTCAGGGTTAGGGACCTTAGATTGTACACCCCTTGAGGGTTAGGGACCTTAGATTGTACACCCTTCAGGGTTAGGGACCTTGTTGTACACCCCTTCAGGGTTAGGGACCTTAGATTATACACCCCTTCAGGGTTAGGGACCTTAGATTATACACCCCTTGAGGGTTAGGGACCTTAGATTGTACACCCCTTGAGGGTTAGGGACCTTAGATTGTACACCCCTTGAGGGTTAGGGACCTTAGATTGTACATCCCTTCAGGGTTAGGGACCTTAGATTTTACACCATTTGGGAGTTAGGGACCTTAGATTGTACGCCCCTTGAGAGGTTAGGGACTGATGTGAATGTACAATATATATGTAAAGTGCTGTGTAAATTGACGGCGATATATAAGTACCTGAAATAAATAAATAATAAATATCTCATGTATGTGCTCTTTGCTCCCTTCCAGACGTATTTGACCGGGAATACAAAGCGGCTTATGACCGGCTGAGCCCCGAGCAGGTGAAGTGCACCCAGATCTGCGACCGACCCCCCAGCACAGGCGTCACAGAATGCAGGAAAACCTTCGGGCAGCCGTTCCTCTGAGCGTGTTCTGGTCCTCCCATCGTTTCCTAGCGGCAGATCTCGACACCCACGTGTCCCGACGAGATCAAGCATTGTGAACAAGCAATACGGAAAATTTTCACTCTAGCAAAAAAAAAGGGGGGGGGGGGGACCTGCGTGAGAATCCGGTTATGGAAGAAAAGCAGAGTAGTGCTCGAAGTTCAGGTCCTTCATAGATGGAGGAAGACGAGAGATCAACATCATTCCGAGTGTTGTAGTTTACACAGAATATTTATATTTAATGTCATAAAGAATCTTTGTGTAAAATAGGTTTTTAAATGCCTAGTAAGTCATGGTCTCATTTTATTTTCTGGAAAGGTACCGAGTGAAGGACGTGTTTTATAAGCGGTAGGGTACTACGCCCCCATTGGAGGGGGGCTCCTTTTTAAACGGTCATCTCTTAATTTATTTCGGCCTCCTTGGCTCTGTTTTAGTTGAAAGAAAAACATTTCAGCCCGTAGTCAGTTGGCGGCAACATCCAGCGGATCGTGGGATTTGGGGTTCAGCAGCCGCTTCAGGTTGCCTCAGTTTTTTTTTTTTTCTATTGTATAAATTATTTGATTTAATTTCTGGATTAGCAATAAATACACTAATTCCGTACCCTGCGCTATAGGTTTGAATGATGCAAAAGCTTTAGCTGTGAAGGAGGAGGCCCCCCCCCCCTCTGGAGCTAACAAGGCTAGAGAGGTGTATATGTATCATCCCCCATATTGCTTCCTTGTCCTCCCACATTTTATCTTTGGGATACGTCCCATGCCTATGCGGTACTAGAAATCAGGATCCCCGTTTATTCTCCCATGGACAAATAGGCAATTTATATAATGTGAAAAGGGGGATAAAAACCCTTCTAGTCCTAAAAGTTCTACTTTGGAAACGGGGATAAAAAAAACTAGTCCTAAAAGTTCTACTTTGAAAAGGGGGGTAAAACCCTTATAGTCCTCCGCGTAATCAATATTTTAATAAAAGGTGATTTATATACCCCAGAATACAAAAATCGCCATTTTTCTACCTTTTGAGATGATTTATTCCACGTCTGCAATCTCCCTGCTTTCAAACGGCAGTCGGTGGGCGTGTCCATTGGCAGTAGTGCCGCCACTTCCGGAGGTGATACGCCCCATGCTGCTCTGTGGCTGGTGAATGATACGCCACGGATGGGGCGGGGCTGGCCAACCGGGAAGAATAGAGGCCGACAACGCTACTAGGAAGTGTCTGTGAGCAGGCGCATTTGGGCAAGCGTTGTCGGTTACAGTTGCTGAATGTCTGCATTAGACCGGTTGTTCTTGATCAGGCGTTTAGCAACCTGCATAATAGAAATGTTTATATATCAAATAAATGAAGGAGAGATTTAAAATTTTTTTTTTTTTTTTTTTACTGGCGTTCCGCTTTAATGTACGATGAGCCTGGAACACAAATGTGAATTCAGTTCTATTTAAAGTGGTTGTAACCCTCAGATATGAAAAAGGAATGAAGCATATCCCTCTATAGTGTGTACGTGTCTCAATCCAGGGCACTGAGTGCCATTTCTGTTTGCTGCCACCTTCCTCTGCTAACAGCATGAGTCAGTTTGCCTGACACCAAGGAAAAAATTGTGACAGATGAGAGCGCAGCCTGTGATTGACAGCCTCAGCTCTGTTCCTGTGTGCAGTGTGAAAGGGGGGGGGGGTCCCCTCCTCTCCTTTTCCCTTCCCTTCCCCTCCCCTCCCCTTCTCTTCCCCTCCCTTCTTCCCTCCCCCCTCCCCTTCCCCTTCCCCTTCCCCCTTCCCCTCCCCTTCCCTTCCCCCCTCTTCCCTTCCCCTCCCTTCCCTTCCCTTCCCCTCCCCTTCCCTTCCCCCTTCCCCTCCCCTTCCCTTCCCTTCCCACTTCCCCTCCCCTCTCTTCCTTCCCCTTCCCCTTCCCTTTCCCCTCCCCTTTCCCTTCCCTTCCCTTCCCCTTCCCTTCCCCTCCCCTCCCCCTTCCCTTCCCCCCCTCCCCTTCTTCTTCCCCTCCCCCTCCCCTTCCCTCTCTTCCCCTCCCCTTCTCTTCCCCCTCCCCTTCTCTTCCCCCTCCCCCCCCCTCCCCTCCCCCTCCCTTTCCCTCCCCTCCCCTCAGTTCTCACTGAGTGTAACTTCAGTTCCCCTCCCAATGCTTTTCAAAGCTGAGTAATCCTGTGTAAATTTCTGCACTTTGAATGGATTTAGGAGATAGGTCGCTATAGATAAACGGGTACAACTTATGTAGGAGGATTGGTTTCATCTCTGTGTATCACCTGAGGCCAGTCACTTCACTGGGTATGTGTAAGGGGTTCCCTAGTGACTGGCCTCAGGTGATACACAGAGATGAAACCAATCATCCTACATAAGTTGTGCCCGTTTGTCCTTAGGTGATACACAGAATGAATTTCGGGGATAGGTGGAAGTAGATAAACAGGTACAACTCATGCAGGAGGCTTGGTTTCATCTCTGTGTATAACCTGTGGCCAGTCACTTTACTGTGTATGAATAAGGGGTTTCCCTAGTGCAGTGGTGGGCAACCTTTTTTTTCAACTGAGCCAAATCTCGCCAAAACCACGATTGAAATTTATTTTGAGAGCCACATTTTTAAAACTGAAAATACATAGGATGGTACACTGTTTTTAGTTTCAATAAGTTTTTATAGTAATTCATCCCCCATAGTAATTCATCCCCCATATAGTAATTCATCCCCCATAGTAATTCATCCCCCATATAGTAATTCATCCCCCATAGTAATTCATCCCCCCATATAGTAATTCATCCCCCATATAGTAATTCATCCCCCATATAGTAATTCATCCCCCCATATAGTAATTCATCCCCCATATAGTAATTCATCCCCCATATAGTAATTCATCCCCCATAGTAATTCATCCCCCATAGTAATTCATCCCCCATATAGTAATTCATCCCCCATATAGTAATTCATCCCCCATATAGTAATTCATCCCCCATATAGTAGTAGTAAGTAAGTAGCAAGTAGTAAGTCAAGTCTCCCCTGTGTCAATTCACTTACCTTTGCTCCGCGCGTTCCTCTCGCCGTGTTCCCGCGCCGTTCCGGTCTTCAGGGCGGACTGTGAGAGGAGCCTAGCTCCCCTCACGTTCGTCACGCTGCCCCGCCTACACACATCCTGACAGCCAATCACTAGCTATCAGGATGTGAGTGGCAGCGAGACTGGCCAATCATTGCTGGGCTAGCTGCAGAGTCCTCGGCCACCCGAGAGGAGGGAGGGGAGGGGAGCGGCCGCCCGAGAGGAGGGAGAGGAGGAGGGGAGGGGAGCGAGCGCCCGGCACACAGAAGAGCCGCATTAAAATGTGTAAAGAGCCGTATGTGGCTCGCGAGCCGCGGCTTGCCGACCACTGCCCTAGTGAAAGGCCTCAGGTGATACACAGAGATGAAACCAATCCTCCTACATAAGTTGTATCTGTTTATCTAAAGTCCTGTCCCCTAAATCCATTCTGTGTGTCACCTGAGGCCAGTCATTTCACTGGGCATGTGTAAAGGTTTCCCTAGTGACTGGCCTCAGGTGATACACAGAGATGAAACCAGTTGTCCTACATAAGTTGCACCAGTTTATCTACGGCCACCTATCCCCTAAATCCATTCTGTGTTACACCTGAGGCCAGTCACTTCACTGGGTATGTGTAAGGGGTTTCCCTAGTGAATGGCCTCAGGTGATACACAGAGATGAAACTAATCCTCCTACATAAATTGTACCTGTTTATCTACAGTCCTGTCCCCTAAATCCATTCTGTGTGTCACCTGAGGCCAGTCATTTCACTGGGCATGTGTAAAGGTTTCCCTAGTGACTGGCCTCAGGTGATACACAGATGAAACCAGTCTTCCTACATAAGTTGCAGCAGTTTATCTATTTCCACCTATCCCCTAAATCCATTCTGTGTATCACCTGAGGCCAGTCCCTTCACTGGGTATGTGTAAGGGTTTCCCTAGTGACTGGCATCAGGTGATACACAGAGATATAACAAATCCTCCTACATAAGTTGCACCTATCTGCAGTATTCTCTTCTCTACATCAGTTCAAAGTCCAATATTTCTAAAGCTTGTCTGAGCTGTCAAAAAGCAGGGGACGGGGAGCCTAAATTACACACTGCAGAACTCAGTGAGGCGAGCTCTGAGATCTGATTGGAGGAAAGAGACACAACCCTCCTTCACACAGCTCACAGGAACAGAGCTGAGGCTGTCCATCTGCTGGAGGTCCCTCCCCTGTCACCATTCTTCTCTGGGTGTCAGGGTAACTTGTCAAAATTGATTCACGCTGACAGCAGAGGAATGAGGCAGCAAACAGAAATGACACCCCGTGCTCTGGATCCAGACAAGTACACACAATACGGTGATATGCTTTGTTCGTGTTTCCCGTCTGCCCCTTTTAAATGAATGCAGAGCCAAGTCACGTGACCACTAACTGGAAGGGCAGGTAGGTACTGTCATAGAGGCATTGGCTGGGGTACAGGTATATTTAAATGGGGAGAATTGTTACTATAACTGAAACTATTTTTGTGACTTCAGCTGAAACTGGCTGCGTTCAGCGATGAACAGACCAGACGACCCGACTGGTTTCTTTATATATCATATCCCCCCCCCACCCCAAAACCCTCAGGTTGGCTTGCTGTTTACATAATTATTATTGCTGTTGAGAAATCTGATGTATTTAATCCTAGTGCACTTAAACCGATGCTATTACATTCCCGGTAATATTGCTACAGGTCGATATTAGGTCGTTGCTTTGCACTATATATACTGTACTGTAATAGCGGTTATATAGATGGAGAACACAGGTTGTCTGTGCAATAAAGTCCCATTGTGCTCTGTTGGGGGGTGACACCGTTATTGGACCATCATACAGTATTTTCACTGCTATATACTGTAACCGAACAGCTTACTGACATTCCCTCATACTGGAATAAGACTTGACTCCAGACAGGGTTCCCATATACTTCATCTCTTTATTACTCAAGCCTGATGGTACTATCCAGTGATGTATATTCTGTAGATTTGTAATATTTCCAAAAAAAAATTAAAAAAAAGAAAGAAATAATTTACAGAGAAGAGATGGGTTTTATGATAGAGTTCCCTTTTATTTTTATGGTCAGAGACTAGTTTACGTTGGTCTGACACTTCTATTTTAGAAATCGATAGTTAAAAGCTTATGACATAGTGGAAGACGGTGCTGAAGACGGACCGGTGCAAAGGAAAACGTGAGTGTTGGCACAGTCCAACATGTCTGGGTGTATTTTTTTTAAACAAAACATAAAATCTCAGTGACAGTTGTTCCGCTTTTAGGTTTCGTTCACACAGGCGTACTTAAAGCTGAATTCCAGGAAAAACCGCAGCCATACCGTGAGTTAAGTCTAACGAGGTGCCTGCCGCCTCATAGACTCATCTAACAGGTTTATTGTGCTCCAAGCTCTGACTGTGATCCTTGCTCCTTCAAGGGTAGAGTCACTGGAACTGCTATACCTGCCCTGCTCTCCTTCTGCCCATTCACAGGAGCTTTTATATTATGTGAACTCATTCACAAAATACAAAGGCTTCTGTGAATGGGCAGCAGAGGGAAGGGACAGGCATAGCTGCTGTGTGAGCTTCTCTTCTCTCACTGCTCTTCTCTCCTTCTGCTCATTCACCGGAGCCTTTATATTATGTGAACTCATTCACAAAATACAAAGGCTTCTGTGAATGGGCAGCAATGGGAAGGGACTGTCATAGCTGCTGTGTGAGCTTCTCTTCTCTCACTGCCTGCCCTGCTCTCCTGCCTATTCACAGGAGCCTTTATATTATTATCATTCACAAAATACAAAGGCTTCTGTGAATGGGCAGCAGAGGAAAGGAATGGGCATAACTGCTGTGTGAGCTTGTCTTCTCTCACTGCCCTGCTCTGCCCCTTCTGCCCATTCACAGAAGCCTTTATATTATGTGAACTCATTCACAAAATACAAAGGCTTCTGTGAATAGGCAGCAAGGGAAGGGATGGGCATAGCATCTGTGTGAACTTCTCTTCTCTCACAGCCAGAGGGTGCCTTTCTGGGATTGCAGTAAAACCTGTCACATATAAATAATAGAGATGAGTCCTGGAGGTTGCACGTGCCTAATTGGGTTTAACTCCGTGTGCCTGCATTTTTGTTTTTTTTGCGAAGTTGCTGAATTCCTGTAATTCAGCTTTAAGTGTACAAGGGCCATGTTTGCTCTCATGGGATGCATCCTAATGCCGGCAGTCCCGTTCGTGTCTATTGGGATGTAGTGGCCGCATGGACACAGCCACTGCTCCCAATTTGAAAACCGTGTGGTTGCGGGTCCCTGGAAGCAGACAGTGTGAGTTTGGGGACCTGCACCGATGTCAGACTGGGAACAGTGGCTGTATCCTTGCAGCCGCTGCATCCTAATAGACATGAATGGGACTGCCTCCACGCAGGTGTATGAAACACCTGTGCATCCCCGTACAGGTAAACACAGTCCTCATACCGGGGCTGGATCTAGACTATCTGATTTGGGGGTGCAGTTAAAAAATGTCAAGGGGCATCATGGCAACACTTTTTGTGAGTCACACAGTGTCATGACCTGGGAAATACTAGTATATATTAGGCTGTTATTAAATTAGGGTGAACAGAAACAGAACCTGTGCCACTTTATATCAGATGTCCCTATCAGAGTTCCCCTTTTCATCAGGAATCCTCATCAGGGTTCCTCTTTACATCATGACTACTCCACCTTAATCAGTGTCCCCATCCAAGTGCCCCCTTTGTTCCGGCGTCCCCATCAGAGTGCCCCCTTTGTTCAGGCGTCCCCATCAGAGTACCCCCCTTTGTTCCATCAGAGTGCCCCCTTACATCAGGTGTCCCATCAGATTACCCCCTAACATCAGGTGTCCCCATCAGAGTACCCCCTTACATCAGGTGTCCCCATCAGAGTACCCCCTTACATCAGTTTCCCCATCAGAGTGTCCCCTTACATCAGGTGTCCCCATCAGAGTACCCCCTTACATCAGGTGTCCCCATCTGAGTCACCCCTTTGTTCCAGCGTCCCCATCAGAGTGCCCCCTAACATCCGGTGTCCCCATCAGAGTACCCCCTTACATCAGTTGTCCCCATCAGAGTACCCCCTTACATCAGGTGTCCCCATCAGAGTACCCCCCCCCCCTTACATCAGTTTCCCCATCAGAGTGTCCCCTTACATCAGGTGTCCCCATCAGAGTACCCCCCCCCCCCTCAGTTTCCCCATCAGAGTGTCCCCTTACATCAGGTGTCCCCATCAGAGTACCCCCCCCTTACATCAGTTTCCCCATCAGAGTGTCCCCTTACATCAGGTGTCCCCATCAGAGTACCCCCTTACATCAGTTGTCCCCATCAGAGTACCCCCCCCCCCCCCCTTACATCAGTTTCCCCATCAGAGTGTCCCCTTACATCAGGTGTCCCCATCAGAGTACCCCCCCCCCCCCCCGTTACATCAGTTTCCCCATCAGAGTGTCCCCTTACATCAGGTGTCCCCATCAGAGTACCCCCCCCCCTTACATCAGTTTCCCCATCAGAGTGTCCCCTTACATCAGGTGTCCCCATCAGAGTACCCCCTTACATCAGTTGTCCCCATCAGAGTACCCCCTTACATCAGTGTCCCCATCAGAGTACCCCCCCTTACATCAGGTGTCCCCATCAGAGTACCCCCCCTTACATCAGTTTCCCCATCAGAGTGTCCCCTTACATCCGGTGTCCCCATCAGAGTACCTTCTTACATCAGGATCCCATCAGAGTGCCCCCTTACATCAGAGTGGTTCGTGGATCAGTGGATGCGCTCTCAGAGACCTGGGGGTGCACAACTTAAATCTGGCGAGGGGGGGCCAAAGCCTACCCCAGCACCCCCCTAGATCCGGCCCTGCCTTGTACACTTAAAGCAGAATTCCAGGAATTCAGCCACTTTGTAAAAAATGAAGGCACAATGTGAGTGAAGTCCAAGGAGTTGCATTGCACCTCCTGGAAATCTCTCTTATTATTTACATCTGACAGGCTCATTGCTCTGGTGGAGAGATGCTCTGGCATCTGAGAAGAGAGAAACACAGAGCAGCTATGCCCGCCCCTCTGCTGCCCATTCACAGAAGCCTTTGTATTTTTGTGAATGCGTTGACATAATAGCAAGGCCTCTGTGATTGGACAGGAAGATTGGAGAGCCAGGTATAACAGCTGCAGTAACTCTCCTTTTCAAAATGCAGAGCTCAAAAGGATCAACGTCAGTCTCCTGGTAATACAGTGATAGCCGTCCTCCGGGGATTACTATAAAGCTGTCGTATGTAAATAATAGAGCTGAGTCCAGGAGGTGTCATGCACCTCGCTGGACTTACTAGTATGCCTTCATTCTTTACAAAGGAGTTGCATTCCTGGATTTCAGCTTTAAGTACGCCCCATGTCAGCGAGGCCTCACTCTAATTTTCTTTGCACGAGTCTTTTTAAAGTCCCATTTTGGACTAGAGAGGAGGAGGAGGGAGGGGTGAGCAGATTTACAGCGTGTTGATTTACTGCATCAGCGATGATGTGGCTGCTCACCCCCGGTGTGTGTACTGTACATTGACTAGCAGAGGCTCTATCAGGCAGAAGTGAGCAGTTTGAATCTGCCGTCGTAGAATCTGCAAATCCATTTTGGTTTACAATTGCTAGGCACTGCCAGGAACCGCTTGTGTGTACTGCGAGAAACAGTAATTATGGAGTTGGTTTACTGGTGATGTGTGTGATCTGTTCATGGTTGTTACCATGTGACCTTTTGTTATGTTGCTTTTATTTTATTAAACGTCTTTTGAAATTGGACTGTTTTCTCTTCGTTTGTAATTGCTTGCACAGCGATATTGCTTTGAAAACCGCAAGTTTTGTTATGAAGGCTTCCGATCATCGTTGGGGGGAAAAATAGAAAATAAAAAAAAAATATATATATATATACAGTGGGGCAAAAAAAGTATTTAGTCCCCACCAATTGTGCAAGTTCTCCCACTTACAAAGATGAGAGAGGCCTGTAATTGGCATCATAGGGAGACCTCAACTATGAGAGACAAAATGAGAAAACAAATCCAGACAATCACATTGGCTGATCTGGAAAGAATTTATTTGCAAATTATGGTGGAAAATAAGTATTTGGTCACCTACAAACAAGCAAGATTTCTGGCTCTCACAGACCTGTACCTTCTTCTTTAAGAGGCTCCTCTGTCCTGCACTCATTACCTGTATCAATGGCACCTGTTTGAACTTGTTATCAGTATAAAAGACACCTGTCCACAACCTCAAACAGTCACACTCCAAACTCCACTATGGTGAAGACCAAAGAGCTGTCGAAGGACACCAGAAACAAAATTGTAGACCTGCACCAGGCTGGGAAGACTGAATCTGCAATAGGCAAGCAGCTTGGTGTGAACAAATCAACTGTGGGAGCAATAATTAGAAAATGGAAGACATACAAGACCACTGATAATCTCCCTCGATCTGGGGCTCCACGCAAGATCTCACCCCGTGGGGTCAAAATGATCACAAGAACAGTGAGCAAAAATCCCAGGACCACACGGGGGGGGGACCTAGTGAATGACCTGCAGAGAGCTGGGACCAACGTAACAAAGGCTACCATCAGTAACACACTACGCCGCCAGGGACTCAGATCCTGCAGTGCCAGACGTGTCCCCCTGCTTAAGCCAGTACATATCTGGGCCCGTCTGAAGATTGCTAGAGAGCATTTGGATGATCCAGAAGAGGATTGGGAGAATGTCATATGGTCAGATGAAACCAAAATAGAACTGTTTGGTAGAAACACAACTCGTCATGTTTGGCGGAGATGCGGAGAGAGAATGTGGAGTTGCATCCAAAGAACACCATACCTACTGTGAAGCATGGTGGTGGCTGTTTCTCTGCAAAAGGACCAGGACGACTGATCCATGTACAGGACAGAATGAATGGGGCCATGTATCGTGAGATTTTGAGTGCAAACCTCCTTCCATCAGCAAGGGCATTGAAGATGAAATGTGGCTGGGTCTTCCAACATGACAATGATCCCAAACATACCGCCCGGGCAACGAAGGAGTGGCTTCGTAAGAAGCATTTCAAGGTCCTGGAGTGGCCTAGCCAGTCTCCAGATCTCAACCCCATAGAAAACCTTTGGAGGGAGTTGAAAGTCTGTGTTGCCCAGTGACAGCCCCAAAACATCACTGCTCTAGAGGAGATCTGCATGGAGGATGGGCCAACATACCAGCAACAGTGTGTGCCAACCTTGTGAAGACTTACAGGAAACGTCTGACCTCTGTCATTGCCAACAAAGGATATATAACAAAGTATTGACATGAACTTTTCATATTGACCAAATACTTATTTTCCACCATAATTTGCAAATATATTCTTTCCAGATCAGCCAATGTGATTGTCTGGATTTTTTTTCTCATTTTGTCTCTCATAGTTGAGGTCTACCTATGATGCCAATTACAGGCCTCTCTCATCTTTTTAAGTGGGAGAACTTGCACAATTGGTGGCTGACTAAATACTTTTTTGCCCCACTGTATATATAGTCTATACAATTGCTGCACAAGTCACATTGTAATTGAATGTTATTAAAAATAATCTTTTGCTCTCAATCTGCAGCTCTGTTAACCCCTTGGTGCCGGCGCCTCCCGGCCCTTTAGGGTTTCAGAAGCAGGGAGGCGGGGCAGGGTTTAGAGTCACATGATCGGAAAAGGTCCCGATCAAAAGAGGAGATCGGGACCTTTCCGTGAGTACTGGACATGTGTGCTGGGAGCGCGCAGGGCGTGCGCTGTCAGCGCGTTTTTTTTTTAATAGAATGCAAATGTGCGGCCGCATATTTGCGTTCGGCAACACCAAGCGTTTAAAGTGGTTGTAAAGGCTGAAAGTCTTTTACCTTCATGAAGATAAAAAACCTTCTGTGTGCAGTATACTTACTGGCCCGGCCCCCATACTTACCTGAGCCTCATCGCGATCCAGCGATATGAATGACAGCCTCGGTTGTCCAAGGTCTCTGCCTTTTCATTGGTTAAGAGAGCCATTGGCTCCTGCTGCTGTCAATCACAGCCAGTCACCCAATGAGGAGAGAGGGGGCGGAACCAAGTTGCAGCAACGCGTGTGAACGGACACATGGAGCGGCGGCTGCCCCCCATGGCGCGCTGCTTGCTGTGGGGGCACTCGACAGGAGGGAGGTGCCAGGAGAACCTGCGGGGGACCCGAGAAGAGGAGGATCCAGGCTGCTCTGTGCAAAACCACTGCATACAGCAGGTAAGTATAGACATGTTTATTTTCCTCCAAAAAAAGAAAAACCTTTGGAATCCCTTTAATTTCTGTAAAATGCAATATGGTTGCCTGGAAGTGTTCTGTACACAGTATACAGAATGCCCCCCCCCCCTCTCAGATATGTCATTTCCTGCTTGTGTGATTGGCCCACTGATTTTCCCACAAGTCTGCGGTAGGATACAAGTCAGATTTTGGGCATCCCCTGTAACAAAAATGTAATTTATGGTGAGATACTCCCAAAGGGAAATCACATCTAAAGGGATGCAGACCCTGCCACTTTCCTCATTGAAGCTCTGCAGGTGCAGCAACTGATTGATAATTATAAAATCACTCCCATTATCCTTCACTGTGCACATGCAGCCAGACAAATGAACAGCTATATCTTCAGAATAACAAAAGGTAGGTTTTGTTAAAATCCCTGCAATGTGCACAGATCACTGAGGGGAATGTTTGTTTGTTTTTCTCAACAAAAGTGGAGTTACCCTTTAAAGCAAACATTTCCTGATAGACACAATGCTGACTTCTCATTCTGCAAATGCTGGTTGTCTGGCTATCAGGATGGCCTGCTGGCCTCATTGCTGTGCATCACTGACATGGAACAAGCATGCTGCTAAGGACTTCAGTATTTTCTCAGTCACTGACCTGGAACAAGTATACGCATCAGGAAAATCTGAAGTCACTGGGCTAGCGTTGTAGACAGAAAAACTAGCATTTCTAGAGGGAGGTCAGCAATGGCAGACCCCATGTTTCTATCAGGAAATGTTCACTTTAAAGGAGAATTATGGGGTTAGTAAAAATGAAAACCAAACCTGCGTTTGCAGCATCTATTTATCACTGCAGCTGTCCCACTCCGAGGCTGAGACCAAGAGCTAACAGATCACATGAGCAAGAATCAGTCCGTTCTCAGTCTGCTGGCAGTGGAAGAACAGTGACTATCCATGAAGAACAGTGACTATCCATGAAGAACAGTGACTATCAGTGGAGAACGGTGACTATCCGTGAAGAACGGTGACCATTCGTGGAGAACAGTGACCATCCGTGAAGAACAGTGACCATCCGTGAAGAACAGTGACTATCCGTGAAGAACAGTGACTATCCGTGAAGAACAGTGACTATCCGTGAAGAACAGTGACTATCCGTGAAGAACAGTGACTATCAGTGGAGAACGGTGACTATCCATGAAGAACGTGACTATCAGTGGAGAACGGTGACTATCCGTGAAGAACGGTGATCATCCGTGAAGAACGGTGACCATCCGTGGAGAACAGTGACCATCCGTGAAGAACTGACTATCCGTGAAGAACAGTGACTATCAGTGGAGAACGGTGACTATCCATGAAGAACAGTGACTATCAGTGGAGAACGGTGACTATCCGTGAAGAACGGTGATCATCCGTGGAACGAATCCGTGGAGAACGGTGACCATCCGTGGAGAAACCATCCGTGAGAACGGTGACCATCCGTGGAGAACAGTCCGTGTGAAGAACAGTGACTGTCCGTGAAGAACAGTGACTATCCGTGGAGAACGGTGACCATCCGTGGAGAACAGTGACTATCAGTGGAAAACAGTGACTATCAGTGAAAGAGTGAGGGAGATACATTT